CGAGAAACAGAACAGATACTTGATAAAATCATCAAGACTCAGACTTGCAATTTCTTCTTCTCAAGCACTTCTTGAGATCACCGACTATAAATCATGTCTTCAAGAAAGTTTTACCTACCAGAAATGAGCTTTTAAACTAAACATTTTTTTTTCTGAAACTGGATGCTTAATAATGTATTGCGTCTTTACAGTTGCTGCCTCTGCAGTTGGACAGCAAAGATGTTCAGGTTTTCCTCATCAATACCAAACCGTTCACAAAGCAGGAATGTTTGTTTACCCATTTCACAGAAGTGGAACCCAAAAGCCAAGTCCTATCCCTGCAGCAGGATGCAAGGATCTGAGGTGGGGCCTAGGCACAACTGAAACAAGTAAGTGAACTTCGGAACAGCACAAGACTTACTACCTAGCCCCTTGCTACCTGCATTTTACATGTCCGGAGCTCTATTACCGCTCAACGTCAGCCAGTTCTCACTTGGGTAAAAGCGAGGCAGCGCAGCAGTGCTCAGCTGCTGCTCAGGAGTGGTCCCCATAGAGCCGATATGATGGATGAGGCCAATCCCGAGAAATCAGAAGTTTCGGCCACATCACCAAGATAGACCAACTGGCCAGCATACCTAAACCTTCACCTGATGTTCACAGGCTGAGGGAGATCACTGTGCATTACCTATTTATTACCTAGCCAAAACAAGGGTTAGAAAGGCTTCCTCCCTTTTCTTAGAAGAACTTTAAGTAGCTCCAATACAGTGGCTGAGCCTCTTTCTTTTGTTGCACACTCATTCTGGAGCATGAAGAACAAATTGCCACAAGTTCTCACAGGTTTGTTGAGATGGCTCATTTCCTAACAAAGACTTGAAAACCCCACATCACCAGTAGCTTTGTAGTATGTAGCAAAAACATTACAGCATTTCACTTCTGCAACTGTATTCAGAACAATACTTAACTATTTACAACTAAGAAATTCAAATAAACATGCACTGCCAATAAATAAAAGAAACCTACGCGTTTTACAGACTCAAGGCTATTTACACAAAACGTAAACGACTAACTGAACAATGCTGCTTCCTAGACAAATCTTCTATAGCATTTGGGCAGGATAAGGTACACCTCAAAGACAGCACTCATTGAGGAAAAGGATGATGTTCTTTCTGAGCACAGATAAGAAAATTCTTCAAGGACAGAAAACACTAAATATTAGGCAAAACAGCTCAGGAGCTAAGACACAGATTATTAATTAGAGAAGAGGTGATGAAAATCTACAATTTGAAAGTAAAATTTGAAGGAAAAGAGCGAACTAGCAGATGTACACATAACCCAGTCATAACTCGAAAGAATAAAGCAGAAAGTGGAATGGCAATCACAAACAAATGCTTAGACACTCACTTCTAGCCAAAAGATATTTCACGTCTACTGTCAAAAGGTATCTCACTGAATTTGATTACATGCGTATATTTTCTTCTGAAGTCAAACAGGTCAAAAAACCACAGCCACTAATTATGGTTAACGTGGTAATCAATGCACAGATCTCCTCCACTGTTCCAGCTGCATCTTCAGGAACTCTAATAAAACAATCAACCCCCTGGCAAGGACTCTAGACAATGCAATTAAAAACATTTTTTCTGAAAGTTCATATGCCCTCAGAATAAAGTTGCAAATTTTTCAGTGAGCTCTGGAATACAAAGGGCAGCTTTCAGTCCTGCTCTGACTCCACACAATTACAGTTATGTTACCCAGATTAGCTTCAGCCTGTGAACACCTCAGTTCTGCCCTGATACACCCGACGCTTTGACTTGTACTGACGGTGGAAACGTGATTAGCGGTAAACATTGTGAAATTGTCAAGGAAAGAAGGAACGGCTGCTTAAAGCAAGAATAAGGAATTGTGGTCCTGTACGAAGCTTTGGAAGGAAGGCAACTCCGATCTAACATCAGAGGACAGAACACAGAGTAACAGATACTCCCATGGGCTCTGAGCACACCCCGGGCTGTGACAGACGCCCCGTTAATCACCGACCCCGTAAGGTCTCTGCGGCCAGCTAACCGCACGCCGCTGCGCGCCTCAGAGGATGCCCGGACACGGCCGAGCCCCCTTCTCCACACGACAGCCGCGGCCGCAGCCCCGGGAGGCGTCCGGGAGACCCAAGGCGCTGACGGACCGAGAAGCCAAAGCACGGCGGGGCGGCGGGGCGGCCTTCACCAACAGTCCCAGGGCAAGTGGGGGGCTGGCGGCCGGCTCTGTTATGAGTGCCGCACACACACACACACACACACACACACAGACACACACACACAGACACAGACACAGACACAGACACACAGACACACAGACACGCACGCACACCCCGGGCCCCTCCAGCTCCGCAGCCGCCCCCAGGCCCCTCAGCGCCCCCCGGCCCCTGCAGCGGGCGGCTCCCAGCCCCCGGCCCCAGCCCCTCGGCGCCGGCACCGTGCCCAGCCCCGCGCCGAGGCCGGGCCGAGCCCCCCGCGGGGCCGCCGGGAGCGGGGGCGGCGCTCACCTGGCGGCCTGGGCTGCGGCTCCCGGCCTTGTGGCGCGGGCTGCGGGCGGCTCAGTCCATGGGCCGGCGGCGGGGGGCGCGGCGGGAGGCGGCGGGCACAGGGCAAACACTAAAGAGAATGAGCGGGGCCAGCTCCGGCCGGGGAGGAAGTGACGGCACGGCCGCCCGCGGGACGGAGAGGGGCGCAGCCAATCGGGGGAGGGCGAGCCCCCCTCCGGAGACGCCTCCCCGCGAGGGTTCCGCCAATAGGCTTCGGGCAACGCGGTCACGGCTCGGGGACTACAAAGCCCGGCGTGCCTGGCGGCGGAGCCGCGGGCGGCCTTGGGGAGGGAGGGAGCGGGGTGGGACTACAAGTCCCGGCGTGCTCTGCGCGCCTCGGCGGCCGGGCCGGAGCGGCCCTGAGGGGGCGGGGGCGTGCCCGTTAGCTGCGGGGCTGCCCGCCTGTACGGGGCGCGGGGAGCCTACAGAAAAGAGCTCTCGCCTCAAAGCACAGGCAGGTGGGGGGGGGGAACCGTGCTGAGCGCGAGAAGAGGTGCGAGGAAGCCCCGTGACCGGACGGGGGAAAGCTGAGGGTACGGAGCCGGCGCTGCCGCCGGTCCCACGGCGCCGCCCCGCCTCAGCGGCTGCGGGTGGCCGGGCTCGCGCTGAGCTGCGCGGGTAACGGCAGCCGGGGCGGTTCTGGCCACCCAAGCGGCCCGGTGCCCGCGCACGGCTCAGCCTCGCGCCCCAGCCTCGTGTCGGTGGGTGACGGCCTCACCCGCACCTCGGCCCCGGGTACCTGGGGAGCAGAACCGCGTACGTAAGTGAAGTCAAAAACCAGATAGGAATGCACTTAGTTTGCAACAGGAAAGCAAAAGTTCCGATGCGCTACGGCTGAAGTCTGTCATTTCAGACTTGTGATACATATCGAGCCTTCAGCTATTGTGTTTTTAATCCAGATAGCCTCACCCTTCAGAGTGAAAGGAAACCACGCCAGCAGCAGCACGCAGCTGGCCGCTTCACTGCTAAGGTAGCGGAGGTTTCCCTTCCTGATTCACTGGAGCAAAGTGCTCCGCAGGATTTAAGTAAGTGCTATCATTACGTTTAACTGCTTTAACAACACTTTCCTTGTCTTTATGAGTTCTTAAAGCAGCACAACTGCTTTTATAACACATAAGCATTAGCAAAACAGCAAGAAAAATCACAGTACAATATTAAGCAGTCCCCACTTGTGCTAGAATAGGTCAATCCCTTCTGTCAGAAAAGGATACTACGAGAACTTTTTGATTTAGAAATACTTTTTTATCTTTCTTAATAGGTAAAAATACATTTTAAATTACAAGGTTGCATTTAAACCCCATGGCATCATTAAATTGCAAGTCAGTAATTTCTGCCATTGTTCAGCCAAAGAAAGAAAATAAAAGAAAAAGAAGTGGCATCCAGCCCACAACATTTACTAACCAAATACATATAACTTAAATTCTACAGTAAATGCAAAAGTCTTCATATTTAGAGGAGAGAATCACAACTACAACATTGCAGCAAAACCAAACAAGAAATTATAACCAATATGTCTAGAGCTCCATATCCATTTCTGTATTTAACACTGGTATGGATACCAAAGATACCATGAAGAAAATACATCATACACATAAAATCAATTGACAATATAGCATTTAAAAGACATTCTCCAGTATATAAGTATATAGATATATATCCCATATCACATTTAAACACCTATTTATATGCTCTTGCGGTCTGTTGCATAATGATATGTGCTGTTAGATCCTTTAATTATCCCAAGCTAGCAACAGTTACATTTCAGAAGGAAATGAAATTTCAACTGTTGTGCAATTATTACTGCAAAGGCTTAATGTTGCCTGTAACAGAAACAACATTTGTACAGTTATTTTTGTAGAAAGTTAGGTGGAGATACGGAAATAAAAAGCTGACTTTTTTCCATATTGAATTTCATTAGAAATTCTGATTTATGTTCTCTCATCCCCTTCTCTATTGTCCCCTCCTCAGTCCCTCAGAAAATTGTGAATGTCTGGGTAAATGTAAAATTGTCATGATTGGGACAAAAAGCATCTGCAGCCAAATTACAAACTTGAATATAATTTTAATCGAATATGTATGTAATTCAAAAGTCTGAGAAACTCTTGGTGCAATACCTCACATATCCACTGTATTTGTCCTTTCATTTGAAGGATATTTACTCCTTTATTATGTGCATGATTTACTTATTGAAAAATGTTACAAAAGACTTTTTTATGCAACAGTTTAAACAGAACAAGGACAGAAACCTATTTCTAGCTAACAATTTGTAAAATATTTGCATCTTTCATTTTCTTATATGAAAGCAGTACTGTAATTACAGATACTTTCAGATGTTCACCTAGAAATCTGATATTTATTATTAATATATTTTGTTAGTTACTTTGAAATATCTCTTACATCAGACACAAAACCAGTGTGAATTTCCCTTCACAGCTTTTGAAAATGAATTTTTTTTTTTTACAAGGAAGCTAAATATCTGAACTGGCTGTGCTAAAACCCCTTTCATTCTACTTTTCTGACTCATTTGTAACAAAATATTTTTTCCACTTTCTATTCCTTTAAGATTCACTTATTCACAGTAACAAAGCATTTCCTTCATCTTGAATACAATATGTTAAGTCCAGCATAAGCTTTGACCTTACATGCACTACTTCTTCTGAGAGAAAACTCTTAGGCCTATAGTCACGTTGCAACTAGCTGTCAACAGAAGTCACGAAGGTTTTACGTACTAGCTGGTACTATTATAGCCAGTAATCCCTAGAATACCTCACATTTCTTCTAAATTAAAGGCAGTAATTGCTTCATTTAAATAAGTAAGGGTAGAAAGCCAAGGGAAAATAAAGTATCTATTCTGCTTTTCAAGTTTTTTTTTTTTTTCCTCTGACCTACTTTTTGGCTGATAGAATCAACAAAGCACTTAACAGTTATTAAAAAAAATACTGTTATTTCTATAAAGGAAAAGATTATGGTGTTTTAAGACAATAATAAAGGTTTGACATCAGGAGCTTTGGAACAAGAAAACTGACATGCCATTTTGGAGCATGGTGCACAGCTGCACCCACACCAGCACTCCATGAATAGTGTGTGCCACCTGGCAGAGGCAGCGTGGTTTGTCAGGTGAAACAATTTACTCCACCAGATACAGCTGGATGCCTGAACCTCTGTACTGTTACAGCCAGACTGGTTTTATTATCCAAGCTAGTGCAGGCGTATATACGCTGCACTGCAGGAAATGCACCTTTAAAGTTTTGTCAAAATGTTTTCAAATTGATTCACCAGCGTTTTAGCAGCACTTTTGACAGCATGAAGTATGCAGCCTCAGGACAGATACAGATCACTCTTCTTTTACAAGAATGAGCGAACTTCAGGGAAGGGTGAAGAACTGTAAACAAATAGATTGCTGTGAACAGCTGAGCTGGAGTCTCACACAGTGCCTTGTGGTTATTTTGTCCTCGCAAAAGACAGTATAAAGACATGCTCTGACAGCTTTAGTCTGGCCCGTCCTTGACAATATTACAGGAAAGCTGTTCTTGCTGAAAGCTTGTGGAATGAGTACAGAAGTACATTTAACAGTCAAAGAAGTACATCTCCATGGAAGGCACCTTCAAGCAAGCTACTGAGCGCCTAAAGAAAACCAAGTTTTCTGAAAGCACAAGTCAGAATGACTGAAAGAATATGCTCTGGCCTCATTTAATTTTTAGAATGAAATGCCTGCCTCGCTGAGAGGATGACTCCTATATTTGCACACGTTTATATGAAGAGACAAAGAAATAGGACTTTGCTTTAGTACATGCTGCCACCATTACAGGAATGCTGGTAACCTCATGGTTCATCACAACCCATGAAAACAAGACCAAACATTAGTTGATCTTGAAGGTTGTTTGTTGTTTTTGAAACCAAGTATAACACTTTTTTTTTTCCATTATAGAAGACTCAGAATATTATTTAGAAACACATCACCATGAGTCAGTAGGATTAAGGACAGTAGGTGAGAATTCTGTGGGTTCTAAAGATCCTGAAACAGATGTCCCTTTACATATTTCGTGTTCAAAATGGAGCAAGTAATCCCTTTTCCTTTGAATATGAATAAAAACTTCTACCATTATCAATTGCAAGGGAGAAGTGTCTCTTTACTTTCAGAAGAGGATCTCAGGTGATGTGCAGGAGTTAATTGTTTGAACCTGAATTAGATGCTCACAGGTCCTAGGAAGATCAAGGTGACAGCAGGTGTTTCCAGTCTGAGCTTTCTAAAGGAAAAACTGGCCCAACTGTGTAACAAAGAATACACTGAAGGGTGGCTTCAAGAAGTTCAGCTATCCTGTGGAAACTGTTACCACATTGCTTGCATCGGTTTTCGTTCAAATTAGCAGATAAATCTGGTTAGATAAATTCAGGAACATAACTGTCTCCTGAAGATTGAGGATTGGAGGTGTCAGAAACAGCAATAACCCTGAATAAAGATGAGGGCACCTGCCAATAACATTTGCCTGTACTCTGAAGCACAAATGCATTTTCTTGCTGGCACTACAGTTGAAATTTTAATTTCCCTGGAAGGGTAAGTGCTCTATACAAACACTCACATGCCTTATAGAATCTGCCAAATACATCAGGACTAAATAACATCGCTAACAGTGCCATGGCCACAGCCGTGTCAACAAAGTCCAAGATACTAAACAGTGAGTGAACTGAAGGACAGTTATGCCACTACTATTTATTGATCTGAAGTCACTTAGGCACTTATTCACACGCAGTGTCTGTTCAACAATAGAGTCATGCCTTGCAGGAAGTGCAAGATAGTGAAGATAAGATTCACTGATAAACTTCCATTCAAAAGAGCCCATTTCCTTGGTTGCCTCTCAAAAAGGTTCTGGCTTGGTGCAGTAAGTCTTGTCCAGATCCATCTATGTTCAGTACTGGTAAGAAACATTTGTTCACTCACTTCATATACCTCAGCAATCTGTCCCCTAAAGAAATCTTGTTCAGAATTGCAGAACTACGATGATCTAATACAACGAGCCCCATTCTAACATAAGGTTATCACACATACATCGGCTGTCTACTTGACTAGATGCAAAGGTAGCATGTCAAATTACTGTTACATGAACACCACCACTACCAATTTAATTTTGATCCTCTGATGTTGACATTAAAACCAAAAAAATTGTTCTCCCGCTTATCCAAGAGAAAGATGAAGTTGTAGAGCAGGCAGTGATCTGAGTAGCTTTTTGGCTTGCAGGTTATGAACGACCACAGCTCAGTTAACACTGACATTCGAGGTAGGCATTCAGTAGCTCACAAACATCACACGCATCTCCCCTGTGGTTTCAGCCTGTCTAGCAAATCTATTCTACAAGGTGGTTCTGCAAACTTGCAACACACACAGTCTCATCAGCATTAAGGCAAATGCTTTTCACGATCACCACTGTATTATTTCACTCTTGAGTACTGCTTTCACTTCACACCTATGAACAAAGAGGGTCTGACACTGCACCAGAGTCAAGAAAACATGTTGATGCTGACTTTTTTTAATACATTTTTAGGCACTTAAGCAGTTTCCATTGTCTGACAAGTAACTCATTTCTTCACACATTAAGAGATATGACCAGCATGCATTTATGCATGGCAGCCACAGATAAAGTTCTTAAAGAACTGAAAAAATGACAGCTGATTTTGCCTTGTGTTTTACCTTCAGTAAATTCAGTAACTTTTCTTGATGCAATGCTCAGCTTCAACAAGCATTGTAACAGTAAAACCCCAAAACCCCAGAATGATTCAAGTAATATGCAGCATCTCTGTGGTCAAGTAACTTAGAACAAAACCAAACCAACATCTGCCATGTGTAACAATGCTTAGTATCATGTAAGTCTGACACTTTGCTCTTACTCAGAGTTCTTCAGTCTCTACAACTGAATTTATCTATATCCCTGCAGTACTCGTGCTCTAACAGCCTACAGTTTAGCAGTTTGGTGTCCAGGCCATCTGAGAACTCAGTAAGGCTCAGGCACTTATCCAGTCTCTTTTACGCAACCATAACTGTAATGTAAACTGATGCACTTAGAATTCAAGGCTATCACACGTAATCAGCATATTCATTAAGACAGGGAGAACATCCTAGTTAAACAGAAAAAAAATCACTGCTTCACTTGTAATAATACATCACTAAAAATCCACTTGGGAAACTGATGTTTGCTCTAAGAGGGTACCATTACATGCTTTGACCGCATGACTCTGACATGTCTTGTCCGAAGAGAAGGGGTGCACCTGTTGATGAATATCAAAACAGTAATAGCAGCTTTGGATCTTCTGCCAAAGTTTTAGATTTGCTCTGCATGACCCTACAATGTATTTAAGCTATTACTAAAGGTAAAGAAAAATCCCTACAGTCCCACTATCTTATATTCTATCCTAAGATTAAAACACTACCTTTATTTTTTTTAAACCAGCTACATTCTTCTAAAACAGTAAGCGCACAGTGACAGGCATTTTAAACAAGTACTTCTTATTTATTCACAATTTAGATAAAGTTTAAGGAAAGACAAAAGAAATACAAAGGACAACATCAAAATGAAAAGGAATTTTAGTGATTGAAGGGAGTTTCTACAGCCAGTGCTCTCCATACATTTCCAAATGTTACCCAAATACTGCAGATGCAGATTTCAAATCAACCCCATAACAAACTGCTATGACTATTCCCTTTGCAATTAAACTGGGAATGGAAGTTAGCCACCATTTATCTATCATTACACACACCACCAAATTCTTTCAATTGCTGCTTAAAGCTGCATTTATCTTTTACAAGATGGATTCTGCAATACATTTTCAAGTAGCATTTCATTTTGTCGGAGCTCCACTATAAAAAAAAAAAGTCAGTGTCAACCTTCTGTATAACAAAACAGCTTTTGATCTTGCTTGTGAAATTTATGCAATTCAGAGCAGTGTCACACTTGCAGCTTGGAGGTATCCTTGGAGATACTGCAACGCTTCTGCATTCAGACTAGTACTCAGCATTGATGGAACCTTAAAATATGATAGAGCAGAAGTGTCAATGTGCGTATACATTAAGCTACTGCTACATCCTGTTAATTGCCGTGTCAACATACTGTACAAAGTCAAATGACATCCTGACAGCAGCAGTTTTTCCACTGTAAATGCAGTTGCTGGAATTACAATTCCTGATACTGACAATATTAAGTTTTATGTAGTACTTATCCTAATTAAACATGAAAGAGGAGGTTAGCAAACTATCAGTTATTAAAGCAGGTATCTGGATACAGCAAACAGCAGATCTCCCAAGCAATCTTACTTACCAAAATCCTGAAAACAAATACACAATGGGATAAAAGTCAACTTAAATTTAACTTGTTTAACTTAACATGAGTTGCCTGAGGTTTCCTGAATACATACAATTGAACTGGAGACAAGTGTTAAGCTGTATACCTTCACGTGGATAGATTTTCATGTAAGAAATGGCATATTAATCTTATCACTATAAGAAGGGCTAATATTTTTCACATTATTTAGGTTAGTAGGAAAACAACGTACAAAAGCTACATTTAATGAAAACAAAATAGAAAGCAATACCTAGCATTCTGCTTATGATATACTTCATCTTGCTGAATTATCAAACACTACCAGAAGAGACCCACTGTCATATAAGCATTTTTTCTCTGTAGAATTATGTTTAATGTGCTGTGTATGAAAGTCACCTACCCTGCCAGGGCACGCAGTAGACAGTTTGTGAAGAGACTGTGCCAGATGGATTCTAGGATTGTTCACCATTTGACCTACAGGATCGTGCTCTTTTTTCCCAGCAAAGGCTAGCTGAGAGAACGCAGTCTGATATCCTGGAGTATCTTCTATGTCAATGAAGTGTTCTTCGTCAGGGATAGTGTCATCCTCAGGCAGCTCAAAGAGCCCAATGAGGGCCTGCAGCAAAGGAGTCCTATATGGAAAGATGGGGGACGAGTGTAGAAAAATACATTAGGACAGGGTGGTTTTTTTGTTGTTGTTTGTTTGTTTGTTTTTACAGGAATGTTCAAGTTATTCAGAACCCTTTCAACTATTTAGTCCTTGCAGGTACTAGCTCAGCTATTGAACGTTTATAGTGCCCAACCTGAAGCTGAACTCAAAGAGCTGTGGATGTGTATATTTTACAAGCATAATGTGGATGTTCACAGTACAAACAGGAATAATATATTTATTTTTGATCAGGTCAAATCCTCATGAAACTTATCTATGAAAAGTAATTCTTTTACAGATTACACCTTTCCTCTAATAATATTTTTCTTCTAAATTCTCTTCAACAGTTACTGAGTTCAGGCTACCTGACAACCTGGACTGCTAGACTGGCTCACAATCTTACCAGATAGCTTTCCCCAAAAAGCTACTGTCACACTAAGATCTTACGGTGTCTTGCTCAGGTAGTAAGTATCTGTGATAAGGTTTCCTGACTAGCAGAACAGCTATAACAAAAACTGGTCCTAGCTTTTCAGAAACAATACAAGCTAAAAGAAAGGTAGCCTATTTTCTTAAATGCAATTCTAGCTAGCCCAGTCAGCTCTATCTTCATCACAAAAATCTCAAGGCTGTTCTGGCACCTGCTTTGAAAATGTTTTACTTCTTGAAAAGTGTGAAAAGCCTTAAACTAAGCCTCATAACAGCAGCAGGCCTGAAAAAATCACAAGAGAGTATTTTGATGAGTAGTTCACATTTTCATAATCAAGTAGCTTCACCAACAGAACATGAACTGTTCTACATACCACAGTTTGGTGTACTCGGTGTCCATCATAGGAGGACATTCTGTTAGTATTTTTGTAATGCCAACAGCACAGATTTTCTTTTCAACTTGTCCGGATACTTTCTGTATTTCAGGAATTATAATTTTCTCCAAAACCATTCCAAACATCCTATTATGACATTAAAAGAAGTATTAGAAAGCCTTTTCAGCCTTTTAGTGACAACAATCAGAAACAGTATGAGTCACTAGAAGAGAGAGAAAAACAGAGAATTTGTTACAGTGCTGCCCTGTCATAGTAGATAGGCCGGTAGAAATTAGATAGTAGAAATTTTTCATGAAGGGAGAAAAATAAAAATATCACTCTTCCATTTTTATGAGCTGCTCATGAGATTAATGGTCTTAAACAATCAGGAAGGAACTATGGGCAGCATAGCAGAAAAAGAAACATTGCTAGTCAAAGAATAGTAGAAGAAACGTCTGGCTAGTCAAATTAGTGACAAATGCAGTTTGCAATTTTAGCTAAAGGAGACAACCATTGTCTTTTGAAGTAGAAAAAGTTACACGGCAGTCTTAAATAAAAATCATACTAACTTGGGCTGTATGCTGTCAAATATTTCTTGAAGAGCTAATGCCCCATATTTTATGCAGTACAAGTTAATGAAGACTAGGAAACCTATAATGAGAGAAAGGATAATCAGCAGCAAAATACATTATAACAAATTTGTCAAGGGGATAAAAATGGTAATCTTTGCAAGTGTTCAGTTTTAGTGAAGTACATTAACTTGCTACCTTTAACCCTGTATAAAAACCTGCAGACCTTTTCACCTACCCTAACATGGCAATAACCCACCTAGGACAAGATTCAGTCCTTTCCCCTTGTATCACTTTAAAAGCATTAGAAAAGCTATTCCCAAACTTTTCAGATTAAGGATCATAAGAAGACTTCAATGCTTTCACCTGAAAACTTCATGCAATGCAGTTATTCAGATCAGGTGTGAACCCCTTTTCACGACCTTTGTACCAGAGCACAGATACAATGCATTAAAAGCATCACTTAATTGGTTGTGAAAGGCCACTCTAAGTCATTCTGTCATTCTTCCTCCTATCAGTAGGAGGCATTAACCAGATTTCACAGGGTTAAATAATAGATACTATGTAATTTGTGCAGCAATAAAATCATTAAAATAATTTAAGCAGTATGACAATAATCTTCCAGTTATAGCAGCAATAACCAGCATACCTCAGTTAATTTGTCACAGTTCTGCTTATTTACCACAAAACTTTATCAAGAATTTATAATATTAAGGCAGAGTGACATGGATCCATAGACTATTTAACAATAACTACTACTATAAATAAGAGAAAGGAAGTGTGGCCCATATTATTGTGTTGTGCAAGATTAAATTGTGTGTTGGAGATTAAATAGAAACACTTTCAGATATCAATACACAGAATAAGAAAGCAGAAGGGAATACAGATTTCTTTCCCTTCATTTCCAACTCTTTCAGTTCCAATGAGGTTAAGTGTGACCTTTTGTGTCAACTTCCCCACGTACCACCCTTGATTACACAAATAATTTGAATCAAGTCCCTGATGTTAGCAGCTCAGCACTCTCCCTTTGCATAATCACAGGACATGACTGCATACTTATTCAGTACAGCCGCACGTTCTAAACTGTTGGCATCACTGAAGCTTTTCATATAGCAAGAAACTTACTTTTAATAAATTTTGTTGTTTTGGAGTTTTGAAGTCTTTGGAAGAGTAGAATGAAGATCTGTTTCCTGTACTGGTCAACTGATTCACTAGGAAGTTAAAAGATTGGTTATTCAAGCCATACTAGCATTTTACTCATGTCATTTTACAGAAAACATGTATAGAACTGTTCAAATATAATTTACTGACAAATGTAGCATTTTTCAGTTGTTAAACATTAACTACAAAGTGTACAAACATACCAAGTATTAAAGTCCACAGAAATTATTTTTGAATGTAATATCAGCTCGTACTCACGGAGGCATGTGCTCTATAATACTATTTAGAAGGTAGAATCCTTGATGGTCATTAGCTTTAGAGGCAATCAACTTCTGAAACACACCTAACAATCCAGGCTGTAAGTAAAACAAATATATAACACTATACAACAGTTCTTCATACATGATCTACCAGCAAGCTGACCCTTACCATCTAAAACACACAACACGGCAAAAGCTTTCACAACATGAAACCAGGATTCTTTCTGTAGGAAGGCAGATTTCTCTTGGGACCAAATGATCTTTCTTTGAGCCTCAAAATTAGCCTTGATCAAATGAACACCAAAGCTAATTTGAAAATGCACTGTCTGCTTCATCATTGGCATTGTCTAATCAAGTTTGACTACAGCAGATCATGCAGCAGAAGTAACAGAAGCTAAGCATGCAGAGTAAATATCCCCATGAATCCACTAATCCTCAGATTTTCCAGCATTTTGACTTGTCCTTACTCACAATTCTGGAGACTGTTCCAAGAAGAACCTCCAAATTTTCCCGATCCAGTGTGTTCCACGTATGTCAGGTAAGAAAGTTAAACCATAGAAGCTTAACTGCTTCACTGTACTAAATGCAGGAATTTTGCATCTTTATCAACAAAAGATGAAGGATTTCTCTTTTCCCCCATAATGCAAAACCATTCCAGAAGTCTGCACCCACTTTTTTTTTTTTTTAATTTAAAGTACAAATATATATTCTGCAGAAACCCAGGTATCCACTAAAGAAAAAAAATCCTTATAATTTTTGATCTTAAATCAGTATGCCTAGAGGCAAACACTGCTACTAAAACAATACAACTTACAATTTTGTCAGCAGCAGCACTTGCTATTGTGTTGGCACCCCGCTCTAAATAAGCCTGCAGGAGTCGGACCAAAGGTGGAATATTTCCTGTCCTTTCCCACAACACTGGCTGAAGTAGATGAGGAAATAATGCCATATAGGATGATGGGATTTCATTTTTATGCATCTCCAGAAGTAGGGACATCACTTGAAACACATATGGAATGAACTCTGGAAAAGAAATAATGACACTTATAAATTCAGAAAAAATGGTCACCTGTTAAGTCGTAAGAACCACGTATCTATTGAATAAACCTACAGCTGTAGGATATTGACAGAAATATTCCAACGAATAAAACGTTGGAGAAAGTATACTGCTTCTCAAATTTAATTATTCCAAACATTTGCAAGCACTGTATCTATATATACATACACACTTCCTGTTTTCTCTTTTGGTGTTTCAGAGGATGGAATACGAACTACTAGAAACAGGGCAATGTAGGTAATAAGAGGATTTGGGGTTAGTGATTATCAGATACTTTTAAGGTGGAGTTTGTTTAAAAAAATAATACAGTTGATTTATCCAATGGAACAGCTCAGATTCTTCCTAGAAGTGTTTATTAGGACTGTGAACATCCTGTGTTCTCACTTGAGTTTCCTGTGCTACAGAAAAAAAACCTGCCAGAACATAAACCATGACAATCAATTACAGCAGAGAGAGCACAAGCACTTACTGATTTGAATTTACCTTGCACATCATTCTGTAGTATCTCAGTGAACACCATAAACAAAGCCTCTTCAAAGCTGCCAACTGCATCAGGGTTTGCTTTGCACGTTATCCTTATTGACAAGCATATTGATTCAAACATGTAATGGTTAAAGTGAGGTTTGCTTGGATTCTAAAAACAAGTTATGAACAAATAAATCAACTTAAACTTGCTGCCAAGTCACTTATTTAGCAAAATGTATTTTTAGATTCAACTGAATTCTAAAAGAGCAATTGGAAGTAAGGATACTATGCCTTATTAATAGGTTGATGAAATTATAGATTAAAGCAAATATTGAAAAACTTTAAAACAAAAATGAGTTTGTTTTTCTAAGTCTTTCGAATACAGGTGTTTTTCAGAATCCCTACATGAACTAACACGCAGTTATAGTATGATGTAACAAACACTCTGCAGCTAAGTTTAAACTACCCATAGTAGTAGTTCATTGGATAGTTGATTAAGGTATTCTAAAGCATTCCCTAAATTAAAAATCAAGAATATTGAACATGGAAGAATATTAGTCCAACTTGAACAAGGGAGACTAAGAGAATTTTACCCACCAAAAGCAGGTGGGTAATTTAATTTATTCCCACATTTCAGTGTATAAATTTAATATTAGTCTCAGAAGTTTCCTGGACAAAGAATAAAGGAGTTGCAACAGAAACAGATTATTGTAATGGTGGCTCCTGCACAAGCAAACATTTATACTAGAACAAATTAATATTATAAAAAGACTTTATATGCTGTTCTCAAATTTCAGATGAAAGTGGGGGAAAATGATTTGGAAGGACACCCTAACAGGAATAAAGTACTTCACTGGGAGGCTATTTTTACTTATTTTAATCAAAGTATTGAACAATTTGTGATATATTAACAGAATGCAAACAACAAAGTATACATAAATCTTTAAAAATATTGCTCTAAGAAAAAAAGTGTCAACACTTGGCCCAGATAGCCTGCTCTTTACCTTACTGACAGCCAGCAGTTTCTGTGTAAGCTGTGTGATGACAGAAGGGATGTAGGGAATTATCGATTCCTGCAGCAGAGAAAAACTCCGCATGATTGCTGCAAATTAATTGAAAGTTATTAACTTCTGGAGAGAGGTAGATGGCAGAAGTATATGTCTAAATCTTTACTTTTACCATTAAATCAGATCCCAAGGAATTAAGTACAATAAGGATGAGTACATATTGCAAGGGCAATCAATCTATAATCATAACAAAGGATAAAGCAAAGCTTCATTATTGCCATTCTGTGGACTGAGCACAGAAGACTAAGCAACTCACCCGAAGTAAAAAGATGTTCTTCACAAGTCACAATACCATTATGTTTAGTATTTCTCTTTAGTTCCATAAATTTACTGAAAAATGACTTAATACTGGCTGGTAAATAACTGTAGGCTGTACAGACCACTTTAGCATTTTTGCACAAAATTACGCTTTTCTAATAAAAATTTCAGTAGCCTCTAACTATAAGCCTTCACCTCAAATTAACCAAGTTACTCTTACAGTGCAGGACTCGCACAGCACTTACCTTTCATAATGTATTCATTTTCAGAAGAGCCAGGAAGCGTTAGTGCTTTAAACAGGTTTGTTAGCAGCACTTCTACAAATGGTGCCATTTCTGCAGCTGTAATACTGTAGGAAAGCACAGGGTTTTAATGATTAAATACACTCACAAACTTCAAGCATCTTACAGTACCATAATAGCAAGAAATGAAAGATCCCCTACCAGTATTTCACCCATAATGCACAAAAACTAGATAGCAATGAATTTAATTTCTGCTTGGAAACTTACAGAATACTATTATTTGTCCCTCTCAGGGTAAACAGTCTTTCAAGAGCGTGGGCTGCATAAGTATGGACCACAATACTTTCTGCTTGAAGATGATTGATTAAGAGAGGAATAGATAACAACAGTTGTTCCTTAGGTACCTAAAAAAAAGTGATAGCAACAAATTATATAAATTACAGAAAAATACAGATGGTTCAACATTAGAACAGAATCACTGAACTCGTCAACTGTAAATTGAAAGCATGGCAGAAAGAAGAAATCTTAGAAGGCTCCTCCAGTTGCTAAAACACACCTTGACAACTGAAAGGTATCTATTTCTGTCATCTCCTGTGTATTTCCCCTAGAACATCAATGCTCTTTTAAATGCATATATTCCTAATGTTTATTTCTTTTTCCACTTTACTTTGTCTTAATGGGTAATTAAATCTGAGTGGGTCGCAGGACTAAGCATGCAAAGATACTCAGTCCTCCAATAGCATATGGAGGGAATATAGGCTACATGTCCATTTGATATTTATAGCAGCAGTATCATTTACTTTCAAAACTCAAAATTCAGCAGGAAATGTTATGTATGGCTGTCTAAACACCTGTTGAGTTAACATATGGCCAAGTAAGATAAATTAGGCTTGGCAAGTGTAAAGTAACAGACCACAAAATGTTTTTACTGTAACAGTAGAACAAAAACTTACTTGGCTCCTAAAAATCATGATATATTTGATACCATCAGCTTTTAGCACAGGGAATTCATTCACTGCAAAAGAAAAAAATACACATTACTGAACATATTCTACATATTAAAAGTGACATTAACCCCTGAATACCCATCCCAGGTAATACAACATTTTTCTGTTTTGCTTAGTTTATGCATCTCTGTCTGGGCACTCTGCAATAACATTAAACATACTGTGCAACTGCTCAACGTTAAAGTTCCCCTTCTGGCTCTGATTCTAGCAAACTCCAATGGCACGTTCCAAGACACTCCACTACCCTCTGAATGTCATAAGATAATTGCTCAAGTATAAATACATCATGTTGCTTGAACCTAGACACCTGTAGTCTCATCAACACACACTAGTACAGGCTGCAACCTAGACTTCAGTATTTTACCTTCTCCAGGTTTTGTTTAACATAGATGCTTGTTGTAAGGTCTCAGTTACAGAAGTCAAATTACTTTGATTCAACAAGTTAAAGCATGTCAGCAGATAGCAACCATGTTTGTACATGCCCTGATCTTGCAGACAGCACGTGATAATCCACCTTTGTTTAAAAACTCATTAATCACTGGTCAAACTAACTTGAATTACTTCCCACGCACCAGGTGGAAATAGGCTTCTGGCTCAGAGATAATGCTGATATAGGAGCACATTTTAATTTGTACTTGAGCCTTAAGAAACAATGGTTACAATCGAGGTTCTAGACATATCACAAAAGATAATGCATGAAAACTAACGTTAAACTTACCACTAGGAGACTTTAAGTCAGGTTGAATGTGATTCACAAAGAATTCGGTCAGATTAACAAGTTCATTAGCTTGTGTTATTCCATGCTAAAAAAAAAATAATAAAGTATGTTTATGTACATGCTATCACTCAGCTATTTTTCCCACTAGTTCTTGTATCTTTTTAATAAAAGCATTATAAAGAGTGTATGCACAAGAAAAGATGCAATTTTAATAATCCCAAGCAGAGGACCACCCAACTTCTTAACTTTTCAGTGTCTAGGTTTCAGCTGTAACGCTACAGGGGTTCAAAATTCATAAGCCCTGAGTTGAGGAATAATAGCATATAACAGTAATAATGAACCACAGTTTTAGGCAGAAAAACATTAGCAGCTTATTCACTTGGTATGTTTTGTTGTTGTTGTTGTTGTTGTTTTGTTTTGTTTTTTTTTTTTAATGACAAGCCTTTTGAAAAGGAAGAGTTTGTCACATTCCAATTCCGAATGAGAACAGCAAAATTATAATAAATACTTCAGTTTTACCTGATTGCCATTTCCAAGACAATAAACACTAAAACAACATGAGACATTATGGAATATAATGACAAAAACTGTGTCACTCGGATTCCTTCTAGCCTGCTCAACACCACTCATCATCTTCTGTAAAGCTGGATTTGGCCATTCCATGGCTTGTAAGCTCTGGCTCAGGAGCATGTGAAAACTCACAGATGCTGGACCCAAGCCAATTTTGTTTCTTTTCACTGTTTCACACATACTAATAAGACCTGCCAAATGGTCACATGTGCTTGTTGACTTTGCCCAATCTATCTGAAGATGATATACCATCACATTTCCATCAGCTGTGAAAGTATTATATTACAGATGACTTTTTGTCTCATCAACATTAAACTACTACAAATCTAATTATTCCCATTTAGAAGCAGAATAAAGGGAATCGCATCAACCCTCTAATCCTCATAGACATTATAATTTTTGAACACTTATAGATTAAAAGAAATAGCAGTACCTTCTGTGTCTGAGCTTTGGATGCCAAAGACGTGACAAGGTAAATAGCTGCATCTTTGTGCTTCCAGTTAACAGATGGATTCTTCGCATATTCCTGCAGCATGGAATTAACGTATCCAGAAAAAATCCCTGTCACAGGCCCCTCAAAAAACTTGCACAGGCCTCTGACCAGATCACAAGCTGCTCTGCGTCTGGTGTCAATATCTGCACAAGAACAAAAGGTTCTTTGGGTATGAGAAAATACACAACTCTTTATGTTACTAAGCATAATAATAAAAATGTATCAGAAACGCACAGCTTTTCAAGCTACAGTCACACTCCACATTGATGCCTAAGAACACATTTAAGTCTTTTTACTTACTGTAATACCAAGGGCTGCTTGCACAACAAAATGAGGAATGGACACCTACCAATAATACAAGTGTATTCAGTGTTTTCAATGTACCCTACAGAAAGTTTCAGCAAGGATGCAGGGGGAGGCTTTTTACTATCTTGGTAAGTACACACAGAAACGTACTGATTCTGGCAGTTGAGTTAAATTCTTCCCTGTAACAGCCTCTGTGGTGATGCGTTTTAGACTGGTGACTACAACTGCCTTAATTACACACCAGTGTTTTGTCTCTTGCTGAGCAGTACTTGCACAGTGTCAATGCTTTCTTTTTCCTTCTCTCTCTGCCTTCCAAGCAAGGAGGCTTGAGGTGGGCAAGAAACTAGGAAGGGACACAACCTGGACAGCTGACCCAAAGGGACTGAAGTGCTGTTATTCCATGCCGTGTAACATCATGCTTGACAACAAAAACTGAGGGTAGAAGGTTTTTGAAAAGGCAGCCATTGCTTGGGGACAGGTTGGGCATCAGTGTACTTATGGAAAGTGATAAGCAATTGGCTTTTCCTTCTGTTTTCTTCCTCTTTCTTTCACTTATTAAACTATCACAACCTATGAGTTTTCTCAGTTTTACACTGCCTAGTCTCTTCCCCATCCCATCACAGCAGGGTGGGGAGTAAGCAAACTGCTGTGTGGTGCTTAGCCACTGGCTAAAAACAATGAAACAGTATTTTTTTTTTTGGTAATAAACTTGTCAAAATTAATTGTCTCAAGAAAAAAAGAAAACAGCTGTTTCTACATACTAACAGAAGACTACATACTAACATACATAACTAACAGAAGGGACAAAAGGAAAATAAAGCAAGTGAATTTAGAAATGCACTCTATATTGCATTTAAAGACAGTCTCAGAAGAACACAAATATGTCTTGTCTAAATAGCTAACAAGCTTTTATAAGCTTCACTAATACCTGTAATCCTAGGGTAAGAATGATAAAATATTTGCTTGAAAAAAAATAATCAAAACTTTTTCCTCTACTTCCAATGTACAGAAATTTCTCTAACCCATTATGAAGTTCCAGTCATCTAAAAGAGTCAGTGTCAGTCAGTGCAATGTCAGCGGCACAGAACAGCCCATACAGAGTTATCACACAGATCTAGACTTGGTTCATTTGTGCGCTGACCTAGCTGGAGACAGACAATCAGAACATCAAGTAGCTCTGTTAGCACAGTGCTGTGTTTTCAGGACAGTTATTACAGTGGTTGGAACACAGTGCCAGCATGCAAAGGCAGCCTGCCATCCAGCTGGGTTCATCACAGATTTCTATGCAGAACCGGTCAGAGTTTCAGTTTAAACACAAAAGACTACCAAATAGAGGCAGAGAGTCTACCCATGTTATTTAAAACTCCACGCACAGGAACTAAATACACAACTATGGCCACTACTCAGCATTAACTTACAGGCTATATTTGCTGATATGAGAACATGCGCAGTGCAGGAGACATACGGATTCAATTAAGAAAAACTATTAAGAACATTGGTCAAAACAAAAAGACACTGGGACGGGCACATCCTGACAGTAAACTTGACCAAAAAACCTGATAAAATATCTTGAGGAAGGAAGCTTCCCAAGTTCAAAAATAAGTTTTAAAAGCCTCAGTATATTGCTTCAGCTCTTTAGAGCTGTATTTAAAGACCAAGTATTCTTAGTATTAATCTATGGATTACCAGATCCTTCCAAATCCCTTCTTATATATTCTTCAGAATTATCTTCAAATGCTTCTTCATCAGCAGCTGAAAATATAAAATACATAGGAGTTATAATACTGAGACCTGTTTTATGCTAAAAAGAGGTATCATTATCAACTTACTATTTTTTTCAAGTACTTCTCTATAACATTCATAGAAATTAATCAGAAATACCCAGCCTGTTATCCAGCCTGAAATATCCTAGCCTGTTCAGCTTGCTGCCCCATAAACTGCAGTCCTTTCATACTCATGAGCTAATGCATTCCTGATTTAAAAGACATATTCAATACTAAATGTACTTAAAAGAGTTTTCCAGAGTCATAGACTTAGAGAGAAGCTTCTTACTGCTGTAACACATTTGGAACACACTGCATTTTAGATATTTAGATATTGTATCTAATTTAGATAGATTAACATAAACCCATCTTCGAGAAACAGACATTACAATTTAGTAGGCTGTATATCCATGCCTATCCATGCCTTCAATTACTCTGGTATTCACTTTAAGCATGAAAAAATATTGATGGCACATGACTTAGACATTCTATATTTTTTCAATTTGAGATCACAATAGGACAGAAAAATCATTAGATACGTTCATACAACAATTTTACAAAGCCCACAGCACAGCAATTTGCTGTAGAAACTTCGTTTTGATTCTAGTACTCAAGCACTCTGGATGTGATCCTCAATTCTTAGTCCTTTAAAACAAAACATTGTTATAATTACAGTTATATTTTACTGTGTCTTTGAAAATTTGTATCTTGAAAAGTTACCTCTAAATTCCATATTAGGAACAATAACTTTTTCACAGATACTTGTCAATGTATTCTGGTCTTCAAAGAGATGCTTGTAATGTGGTCTTTCACAAACTGAGGCCAGAAACTGGATTGCATTGCTAACCAACTAGAACAGAAGCACACACAAAATACATACAACTTTAGCATGAATGAATAATTTATAATTCATTATTAAACTTGACAAGATCAGTTTTTAACAGCTTACCAAGTCATATTTCACTTCCTGGCCTGTTGTGACTAACAGATTCCAGATCGCTGTTACAAAACGTGGCAGGTAGGGTTGGAATTCTTCATCATATTTTTGAGCATATAAAGCAGCATTATCACAAATTTGTGATTTCAAGAGCTCCAGTAACCCAGCTTCTTCTTCATCCTCACATAAAACAAAAGTAGGAACTTAAGCATCCACATTTCAACACTAAAGTATTAAAAGTATCAACATATTTCAAGGAACACAGTATTATTTTACATTATTTTACGCAGTATTATTTCTAAGTAGGTGAAAGAAATCCATCCCATTTTCCTGAAACTACTGTATTTTGCTGATTTGTACTGGAAGTGCACTACAAATCATACATTTGTGCTATTATATCCGTAGTTCACATAACAGTACTACACACTTAAGTGATTTAGAACTGATAAGATTCAGTGCAGAATTAATTTTCCTATTACATTTGTAAAAGGTAACACAAAACACTGAAAATACACGTTCAGGAGGCACTCTATCTTGCTACTTTAAATTGATATAGTTGATAGAAGTTTTTTTTTTTCCCCTCTTCTCCGTATCAGCACATACATTTTTTGGTACTGCAAAGCAAACTGGAAAAATATGTTGGAATAATATTAATAATTAAAAAACACCACACAAAGAACACCCTCCCTTTTTTTTAATCCCAACTTTCAATTTTAATGCATGTCAGCATGCAACTGCATGGATGTCTGTGCTGGGCAATGGCCCACAGACAGAAGAGCAAGAAAACCGATAGGCAAAGCTTCTTTTGCACCATCACTAGCCTAAAATGACCACGAAACTATAGCACAAGATGTACTTAATGTGCCCCCTACATATTGTAAAGGCATTTATAGTTTCATTGGCTCCACCACGTGGCAAGCTACTGTACTGCATCTGGAAGATGATAGCATTTAAAATGAGGAAAGCATTGCACAAAATGAATTTGAGCTTTGATGACTTGGTATCACTTTTCACATGTGAAACTACTAATGCTTATAATTAAACAAAGACAACAAATAGTAAACTAAATTACTTACAGATGTCATGCCTTATATGTTCAAATATTTCAAATTCTTTAAGATACCCTGTTTTCTAAAACAGCATATGAACCATCTGAAAGGTATAGAAAACCTGAACCCTATGACTCAAAAAATCAGGCTCTTAGACAAACTATTTGTATTTTCACATTTGTACCAAGGTTACTTTAACAAATCCCCTCAAAAGAAGATATTCACTGACAAGTATTGGTGATTTGATTTCTGCACACAGCTACCTATACCTATAACTAATACGTAACTTCAAGAACTGGAAACCAAATTCTTAGACAATGGAGCTACTTCTCTTAAATCGCATTTCCTTATAGTCATTCTATTTCTTTGTTTACCCAACAAAGGGAACATTACATCACCCAGAATTATACCTCAATTCTCTTATCAACCCTCTCCACCGTACAGAGGCAAAACGGGAGGTTTATGCAGTACTTACATCAGTCTGCAAAAGTTTATTATCTAAAGTTAAAAGCGTATGAAAATTTGTCATCCATGTTTCCATGTTATCTTCAAAAAACTCAGGAAGATCCTGTGAAGGAAAAACACAAATCAACATTTTAATTTGTGATTGCACTGCTCAGATAATATACCTTTGTTTTAAGTAATACGTATCCACCTTATAATCTACTAAGGGACAATGAATTGTGGAAAATAAATATATGAAACAAAACACTACCACCTTGCCCTGACCTACTACAAAAGCAACCCCATAAATGAAAACCCTACAGACAGAGGCTTTGCAGCACATTTCCAAAAACACTAGTTGCTTACACCCTATATAGCCTACAGCTTTATATGGAAAGAACTTAATTGCCTCTGTCTCTTAGAATAAGAAAGCACAGACCTTCCTTTTAGCTCCAACTTACTCTTTTGCCCAATATAGAAAGAGCAGCCCAGCAATCAAGTCCTTATCATCACACTTCACAGGGTTATGATCATGTTGAAACACTACACATCACCTCAGCAGTCTATTTTTACCATTTTTCATACAGCGCATTTGTTTAATGCTAAAAAATTTAGATCTCATTAAAATAAAAAAACCCTCTACTAGAATTGCTTGCTACTATAGTGCTAAAGTTACTAGTTTAAACTAATTGACTTTCATCTACTTGACTGAATTCGTATCAGTACAGATGCATTAATAAAAGAGCACAGCAAGTTCAAACTCAAGCATTTGACTTTTGTCTTTCGTTGCTCATACTCACAGATGGCCTTAAAGGCTGCCTCAAATGGATTCTATAAATAAGAGCGTAACAGCTTTGTGAAATTAAAGCAAAAGTATTAAAAAAACAAGGAGATTCATTCACCTGAAAATTTAAACTGTAGAACAGCTTCGCAATTAGAATGAGAGAAGAAAATAGAACCTTCAAAGCACTAGCATCATTTGCATGTGTGCTGCAAAGTTCAATAGTTGCCTAGAAAAAGACACAAGATTCAGTGAAGTAACACACACACAAGCCACATCAACAAGTGATAATGAGATGTATCACATGACACAGTATTTTTTACTTTTCTTTTAAACCAGAAAATACAATTCTTTTTCTTCCTCTTACTGATCCCATCTCATTCCTCGCTCTAGCTGGAACACCATTAACAGTTCCAACTGTTGCTAAGTTTTCATTTTGTAGACATTTGCAACAAGCAATTCAGAATGCTAGACTTGTTTTTAGAAATTATTCAACAATAAATACCTTAAAGAGGTTTGTCAAGGGCAATGCAAAGGCATCAAGTACAAGTTTGATCTCTGTCCATAATGCATTTGACTTAAATTCATGGCGGTACCTGACAAGTGAAAAGAAAATACACAAAAAATATAACAGTCTTCACATTTCTTCCTAAATTAACTTGTGAACAACTGATTTTTCACACTGGACCTAGAAACAAATCTGGTCAAGTAAACACAAGAACTAAACAGCATAGTTAAAGCTATGAAAGGTGTAAAACTTGATAACCACTTGAAGTCTTACTAAAAAGTCAATAAGCATAACCAGAAGCCACATAGGCAAACTTTGTAAATACAAAAAAGTAAGTCCAGCAGTAAAAAGTCTGAGTCAAACAATTTTTTTTGACCCGTATATCAATTCCCTTATTTCCAATACCTTTTAAATAAAGAGTGAGCAGTACGAAGGACCCCGTTAATGACATGGAAATCTCCACTTTGAAAACGATTCACCATTTCTGTCAGCAAGTCTGGCCATTTCTGAGGGAAGTCTTCCCGACCAATAATACTAATAGCATCACTTAACTGGAAAGGAAATATAACCATTACATGATATAATAGCAGACTACTTATAAAAAGAATGCAGCTATCATGCCAGATGTTACAAATATTTAAGAATGCTTATTGTTCTTGTCAGATTCAAAAATCATCAGGTTAAGCATCTACTATTTTTCATCGCAAGAAATCTCACTTTCAATCCAATGTATGTGTACATGCAGTTTCACTTTCTACAATTAATATACTTAACCACCTAGTGCTGGAACTTAGAGATATATTTTTTAAAGTGGGCAAAAGTACCTTCAACAATATACTCCAAGTTATTTGGATAGGGGTGATGTCACTGGAAGAACAAGGGAGTACTGACAGTAACCACAGCCTCTTAGACACACCTGCAATATTCTAAAAGTCTCATGGACACAACCATAAATTGCCTTGTTACCTGCTTTTGTATTTGTTCTGGGCTGCTAAGCATCAAGGGCACTATGTTGGCTTTAATGGCTATCCTGTCTGATTCACAGATTTTGTTCGGTTCATCCTCCACCTACAATTAGAACAATAATTAAGTCATAGACATATTAGTATACTCCAGGCACTGTGCAAATACCAGTATTTCGAAGCCAAGAAATTTATGCAACTATTACATTGTTGAATGCTCTCCTCTTTCAGCACACCAAATCATGTCTGTCCTCATTTCTGCTAACCTCAGAAATTACTGTGTGCAAGCTGCCTCAAGCCTTATTTTCTAGAAACTGTATAGGAAGATAGGTGCAGGTGACACAAAAATGTTAACATGGGCTTTAAGAATTAGCCAACCAGTTTAAAACCTTGTCAGTCTGTAGTGCCAAGTGGTAGTAAATCATGGTATCGCTATTAAAGAAATAAAATACCATGGCTTACCACCAACCAGTGACAGTCACATTACCTGTGATGGCAGCACTGAAGTTTAGAAACCTAGAAGTCATCCAGCACTGCAGAGTAATTCAACAATCTTAAGATGCCTTTAACCAGATGGCACTACTACGCTTGTACTTAGATGAAGAGGAGAGAGGTGGTAGTGAAATGAGCAACAGCAAATCCTACTTGTTTGAGGTTATTTATGAGATTTTTTTCCAAGGAAATTAGGCTTTTTTTTTTTTAATAAGACATGGAAAGCAGCATGGGTGACTATCTTAAAAATACTTTAAGTAAAACTAAATCCAAGAAAAAAAAAATATTAAGTACACTCTTCCCTCTCTCCAGAAATGCCCTACACAGCTGGCTTTCCGGGGTCTACCAAATCGAAGCGCTTAAGTAAACAGAACCCTTTTCTGCATCTGAGCTTTGTCTCCATCCATGTTCAATGCTATTAAATTATACCATTTGATCTAAGTAAGGTAGCCTTGAGGCTGTTCATATTCATACAGCTTTCGAAATGAAAGCTTCGATTTTGAAAAAAACAATGTGCTTGAAGTCACACAGCAATCCTACCAGTTCCCTGGATGCACTTACTGCAGAGCATCTCCTCCTACTCCAACACAAAACCTCATTCTGAAGAACTTCAGTAACCCATACCAAGGAATACACATTTTCCGAGTGCAATTTCTACTTTCAATACTCAATAATAATAAAGATGCAATAATAAATAATAAATAAATTTCAATAATAAAGATGCAATTTGGAGAAACAACTGAAAATGCAGTGTTAACAACACAAAGTTCTAGAAATTTCATGCTAGCGTGAATGTGCTGATTTTAACAAATGCAACCAAATCTAGGACTGCAATAGCTTAATATTTGCATGACAGGCAGGGGAAGAAAAGTCACATGCAAATTTTTAAATAGGCAGAGAGACATAAAACAGGAGTGCACATCTGGTACTCTTTCAGACATACAAATGGTTCTTTCTGGGAGACAAAATACAAATACTAGCAATTAATATCTTTCATCACTGAAGGATTTGAGCTCTTGAATGTAATACTTTACAGCACTAATTAAATTCCACTAATGAGGAAAGTTCTAAATGATTTTTTTTCCTGACATCTTCAAAATAAAGATAAAATGAAGTTAAATGGCAATATTTCTGTCTTATGTCTACAAATACTTCTACATATTAAACTGTCAAGGCTTCTATGCCCCAGAAGCACTAACATGAAAGAGAAACCAGCATCATTGCTTCCAGCTGCAGTCTGGCTGGAAACAGCTCTAACACTACATCAATAGATACAGGCCAACCTGGGCAGCTCACAAATACAGACACTTTGCAATCATTTTGGTGTAAAAACATTATAGTTAGTTAAATGGGCTGTAAATATTGTATTTCTAAAGAAGTATGATAACAGGAAGAATTCTTCCTTCACCATTTTATCCCCCAGCTCTATTTCGTTTTTAATAGAATGGATTCCAACAGAGGAGGTTTTAGTCCCTTATCTGTAAGTTACGCTTTGTGTTTGTTTCCTGTATGATCTATCTTCTCTCGCAAAATGAAAACATACAAGCATTCTTCAGTTCAAGGTTACTATAGAATACAGTACTGGATCCTACAAGGATTACTAAATCTTAGCAGAACTACTCACTAGAATACCTACAATTCTCCAGTTCCTCTTAATGTAATTCTTGAATGTTACAGATGCACAAACTTTGATGACATTTTCCTGTGATTTCTCCAGCAGCGTTAAGAGTAACAATGGATAATTCTGGCTTCCTTCAACTGACTCAAGAAACTTTTCCGCTGTAAGAGAATACAGTAAGGTTAGCAAAGGCTGAACTGATTTTCTAACTGGAGTCCTATGATTTCTCAAAGGTCTATTTAAAATAATCAACACACAAACACGTCTCCAGAGCTTCACAAGAACACTGGGTAAATAGCAAAAGGTACCGTAGCTTCTTTATTACTAAGCTCTTTAATGCCGCTGCTATTAACAAAAGCTCTCAATTCAAAGCAGGCTGTGGAAATATAGCCTCCTCAGCATTTTTAAAAGCCATGTCCTGACAGAAGCCAGCCCCTATTCATCATAAATAGCATCCCTGTTTTAAATAACAACAGAACAAAAAAAAAATCAGGAAAAAAAATGAAAAGCAAACAGAAATTAAGTTTATATTTACATCCATCCTTCATTAGGTGTTAAGTTTTTGTTTTCTTGTTGTTTTTTTTTTAAAGGAGACAGAGAATTTCTGCAAAAGAACTTCTGCATAAACTTTAGCTGAAGTTTGTTATACGCAGACTGAAGAGCTAAAATGAAACCAAACTTCTTGGTCTCACACGACAATCACTTACCAGGACGCCTTATAGCAGGATCCGGATCCAGTGTTTTCTTTAGATACTCAGTTAAGGTCTGTAAATTGGCATCGCTCAACTCCATTTTGGCAGAACCTATGACCCACAAGTAGTTTTGTTAAAAACACAGATTAGAAAATCCATCCTATAAGCTACGCATACGTAAAACTTGATTCCTCAGAAGACACCCATCCACTCTTTTAGGCTACGTCTCATAAAGCACGGTCTCATCTTACTTGTCTGGTGCAATAAAACAACAGCTAGTGTGCACTAAACACAAAAGAAAAAAATATCAAATTTTTCAACTCCACATAGCCGTTACTGGTTGGTTTATTGAAACCAAGCTCCTAAAATAGGATCACACATCCAGTGAAGCATTACTCAGGTACAGCGCAAGACGATCACTTACTCTTTCATGATAACATGAGTTGGGTTTTGCTTTTGAGAACTACTGTCAGCCACAGAAACCTACCCCTGGTTGAAAAGCTGAATAGCCCTGCCTTAGGTAATTGCAAATCAAGCAATTCAAAGTGCATTGGAGAGTAAAGGTTTGGTTAAAACTAAATACTCATTATCTACAGAAAACTCTGAACAGAAAATGAACTTCTATAAAGATAAAAGACTGCACACTGACAAAGGGGTTGTCCACTCTGCAAAAGTAACTCAGACTAGGGTAGGCATTCATTTAAACAGCAATACGTATATCAGAATAACTTTGTGCAAATAAATCGAATTACTCCTCTCTAGACATCCTCCCACAGATATTCTCATACTCACCACAGTGACAGAGTAACTTCACAGCTTCAATTGAAATAATTAAAATCACAGTAACACTAAAACAGCATCAAGAAACGCTGTAATGGATGTGTTGTGTAGGGTATCACCACCTATTACAGAATTATTTAGATTGGAAAGGACCCTTAATATCACCAACCACCACCAAACACTACTAAGTCCACCACTGAATCCCATTGCTAAGTGCCGCACGCACCCATCTTCCTCACCGACAGCATGGCTTATTTGCCAGAGAAATAACAAGGAACCAAAGGCTGTTTTTCCTCTGGAGTTTCTAAGTGTTAAGACTGAAATTTACTCAACCCACTTTGCATTTATTCTATATTGACACTCAGCGCAATAAATGCAGTTTCTATTTAAGCACGAGTGCAAAGGAAGTGAGTTTTAATAACTCCACTTATTCTGTGCTAGCCGTGTCATTGTAAGAGGGGGAGCAGTGTCCCTCCCTTCTGGGGGTTTACTTGCCTGAAGCCTTTTTCACTTGTTCACATCAACCAACAAAACCCTAACAGAGTACAAGGTAAGCAAACAGCTCCAGCAATGGTCGGCTCATTTGTTCTCCTATAAAACAAGCTCATGTGTCAGTGGTAGATGCTGAAACAAATACTGAAGCCTTTCACTACTGAGGGTGGAAAAAAACAAAGATCTGCTTTGAAAAAGCTGGCAAGACTGAGGTACAAACCCATATGGAAATCATTTATAAAAGCCTGAACAAGGAAGCCAAACTCAGAGCACTGTTCGATTCAGTGGGGATCCTGCCTAGCCTCCTCCAAACGCCTGATGCCCACACGGCACACAGGGGTCGAGCTGGCTTCGGGCTTGCTCTGAAGGCCAAAGGCGATGACCTGAAGCCGCTGCTCCACGCCGCCCACAGAGCTGCGATGTTCACCGCCGGCTCTCAGCTCCTCACCCCCTCCTCCAGCTGTTCCTTCCCCTCTGCCTCCCACGAGGCCCTCACCGCAGCAGCCCCAGGCTTCTCGCTGCGCGCCGCTCCGCGTCCCCTGGGCAGGGCGCAGAAGACGAGAAAGTTGGAAGTTGCAAACTCCCCCTGCAGAAACCCCCACAGGCGCCCACCGCTTCCCTGCGGCACTCCGGCCGGCAGCAGACAGCTCAAAGGGGAAATTAAAAATAAATTCCCCCAAAGCGCGGCCGGCCCCGCGCTGCCAGGCGCCTCAGCGAGCTGCTCCGGCACCGCCGCCGGGCACGGCCCGCCTGAGGGGCGCGGGGCGGGCTGGGGGCAGGCCGGGGGCAGGCCGCCGGGTCACCGCCACGGGGATCCCACACGGATCGATCACCACAGATCACCTCCGCGGCCCCCTCCCCTCCCGCGGCAGGAGGCCGAGGGGAGGCCGGCGGCGGGGCCGGGGCGCTGAGGGGAGCCCTGGGCAGCCCGGCCCCGATGCCCGGCCCCAGCGCCTCAGCCCGGGATGGCGCCGGGGGGGGGGGGGAGGGGAGGGAGCAGGGCCCCGCCGCCCTCACACTACCTCGCTCCCCGCCACCTCCCCGACTGACAGCCGCGAACGCCAATGCGCGGAGCCGCCTGCCAGCCGCCGGCCAATCGTGGCGCGCGGGAGGCGGGCCGAGGCGCCCCAGCATGGTGAGCTGCGCCTCTCGCTGCGCCTCTCGCTGCGCCGTGGGCCCAACGGGCCGAGCGCGGAACGGAGCGCCGCCGAGCGCTGCCCAGGGCCGGGACGCGGGGTCGCGTTAGGGCCGGGCGGCGCAGACGAAGCTCACCTGGCGGCTGCCCCGGGGCGGCGGCGGCGGGGCGGGCTGGGCCGTGCGGGCCGGGGCTGCGCCTCACATTCAAACCGCGCCGAGAGGGCGCGGCGGCGGCACCGTGACGGCAGCGCGCGGGGCGGAGGCGGGGCCTGGCCGCCGGGCCAATGGGCGGCCTCCCCTTCCGCGCGGAGAGCCAATCGCGGCCCTGCTCCACACACGGGGCTGGCGGCCAATAGGCGGCCGCGGCCCGCTGCGGAGGGCCGGGGCCTGGCCTGCGGCTGAGGGGGGCGCTGTGAGGGAGAGGGAGAGGAGGAGGAGGAGGAGGAGAGGGGGAGGAAGGCAGGGGAGGGATGGGGCTGCCACAGCGGCCTCTGTGCCTTACGCCACTGAATAAGGGCCCGAGGGACCGTTAGCCATTACCCCGCTGAGCAGAGGCACCCCCATCCCAATACAGTCCAAAAAACGCACGGAAGACACGCATCACCTCTTAAAACTTTATTGATTTACCACTTCATTAAAGCATGGAATATTATAACAGTACTATACAGTGTATTTTCATGTAGAAAACTTTACATAGTTTTTTCATATCTTATAATTTCGCTATTCTCTCAAAAATGTATACATCCGTCAGGCAAAGTACTGCTCTTTAAATTATTGGTAGTAAATGCACTTAATACGGAGGTCCTTGAAAACATAGGCATTTTAAATAGGTGAAAACATACATTTTACACAGAAATAACAGTAAAGGTGCTGAACAAACAATTTACATACTAAAGGGAGCCACACTTTTGACAGGAAAAGCTCAGTTTTAAAAGGTTTTGTATTTAATCCTTCAATAGTAAGACAGCTAAAAGTTGGGGGCTGGTTGCTTGCATTAGTGAAAGCTGTTCTGGACTGTTCTGGTTACAGCTCAGAAAGAGACATGAAACATGGGTAATAAACCTCTTAAAACAACTTCCTTGTAAGATGGTAGAATCAACATGGAAGGGAGGTTTTAGGATTCTCATTACCATCCCTCCCCTCCTTACCTGTTTCCTACAAGGTTCAAAAATAAGTAGCAATAAATACCATGCAGTCTCCATATTAATACCGTTACAGGTAAAATCACTTTATAGTTTAATTTGTTGCATAACACTACTTCAGACATCTAACCTTATTTTTATTACTCCATGTACTGCACAGATGTTGATCTCTACCAGGCCGTGCTGACACAGAACCCTGCTCTCGTTCATAGTTCCACCACAGCCCAGAAAACTGCTACAGGCAGATGAAGTCTTTAACGTCAGCAGAGTCAGGACAAGATCAGAACCAGCAGTGATTACTGCAGGAGTTTTGGCTCAGCATTTTTAGCTTCACAGAGATGTCTGTGGGTTATGATCTTTCTGACTGTATAGAGGAAAACAAAAAGCTGATGCAAATACAATTGTTTCAGGTATTCTACTTTGCAAACCACTCTTATTGCTTTAACAGCTACAATCAACTCGGAAAACTGAGACAGGATTAAGGCTGTGTCTATCCCCCTGCATTCCAGTCCCCCCTTCTCCTTCATGCACTGCAGTAAGTCTAGAACGTTTCTAATGTCACGTGCCTAATTTCAGCAGTTTATAAATGGCATAAATACAATAAAAGCTCTAGTAAAAGTAAGAGTCTCTCAGAACTAAGGCTGAAGGAAAGGAATGATTAAAGGCCCTAACTCTATATGTAGAGATAGTACAAACGTTGCATGTTAAAGAAAGCCCATGATGCAGTTATAACTTCAGATTTGAAAATTAAGAGACCTGTTTCAAGACAGGAGTTGTAAGGCTTTCAGAACCATAAAATAAAGAAAAATTATGCAACTCTTTACAGATTTTGTTTTGATAGGAGATAAGGGTATACATTCAATGAGGCAGTGACATTCAAAAAATCTGAAAAATATATATATTAAGGACTATCTAGGGCAGGAAGAAAAAAAAATGGCCTGTTCTTACATATTTAAATATAATTAAAATAAATACTTTTTTTTTTTTTTTTACTGTAATTAAGTGACATTACCAGGAAACAAGCAACTATACTAAATGCAACACAAAAGGACATCTGAAATGCAGCAAATTAAATATTAGCATTGCTTATTTTTCAGTCTTTTCCTATGGTAAAATGCAGCCCTATATTTCCTCCTACAAAACATTAGTGTATAGATTTATCTACAGGATGTTTAAAAGTTAAGAGAGCTGCAATCATGGTTTACTTTTCTTTGGTTAAAAATAAAATCACGAAAGCCTTACTGGTATTATTGCCTGCAAAACAATTGACAAATAGTGCTTACACAGAACAAGCCAATTTACTGAAGAACGCTGTAAGAATCCTTTGGAAATAGCTCAAAAGAAAAAAAATGTTATATTCCAATGCTACATCAACTATGGCTGCCCTACCAGGAAACTCAACTTATAATGCAAAAGAATAGTTTCAACACAATACCATTATTTCATCGTTGTCGTTAAATACTCTTATATTTGAGGTTTGCTGATATGAGTAGCACAGTGATTAGTATAACACTTTCGTTTACATATACTTTAGGAAGTGGAACTTCTCCATACTTTTCCATTTCAGAAAGTCCAAACCTTGAAATTAAAATTAGTTCAAAGGACAAAATTCAGTCCTGCAGTACTGCACTTGCAAATTGTTGTTACATCACAGAAACCTTATGCATTTTGAGGAAAGGAACATCTCCAGGGTAAGCAAAGCTGTAGTGTTAAGTCACATTTGGTTCATTTATACGTGAAAAACAGAGAAATGTGTTGGTTACTGTTTTACTACATGAATGATCTTAAGTTTAATTTTGCTAGAGCTGTCATGGGAATTCAATTTTCACATCACAATAGGAACTAACAGCTGAAAACAAAAGTGATTTGCACAAAGACAAATCAGAAGTTGCAAATCTGCAGTAAAAAGACAGAACTGGATAGGTAGTAAGGATAAGACTTATTGCTAAACAGACATAATTGCTACTAAATACATTATGGTCAAGGGTAAATACGTTTTTTTAATTGCTTTGAACCCTGTTTTTAATATTACTGTAGATGCTTTCTGTCCATGATTTGGCAATGTATGAAAGTCAATGGAAGGTTTAAAAGTTTTTTCTTAATATCTTTAACTCAGAACTAACAAGCTAAATGGGGTAGATACTACTGTGTACTCCTGATGTAAAACCTTCCATAACAATAAAAATGAATCTTGGTAGGTGAAGTGAGAATAAAAAAATAGTTTTAAAGTGACTTACTAAACAACAGGAAAACCGCTTCCTCAAATATCCTACGGGCTGTTCACTTCAAAAACTATGACACACTGCTTGGTCTAGCCATGTGCACACAAAGAAAAACCCAGAATGATCTTGGGTGGTCATTAGCCACTGCAGTATAGTTTATTATGAACACGTGCTAACATCACAAGGCTATACAACTATATTCATTATTTCCAAGGGGCATAATTTCCATCAAGGAATCCAGATGATTCATAAGATTTAGTTGGGCTGCAAGACTGAACAATCGATAAAAGACCAGAAGAGACAGACTCGATCGTAAGGATGATGAGCATTGAAACAGACTTTACATCCACTGTATTAACTTCGTAAGCAACGATTTAAATAAAAACTGCTGATAGTCTCATAGGATGGACAGGAGTTATTTTCCCCACCCCCCCCCCAAGCCCTCCCCAAATGCCATTGCGGTAAGGGTAACTTGCTGCTCTGTTGATAGGCCAGGGTTCCATTTTTTCCCCGTTCACTTCAATCCATCTCTGGAACACAGCTTTATGTACAAGCAGAAGTAACCAACTCTACTTAGGGCTACCACGAAGGTAAGTTCGTCCCAATTGTCCGTATTTGCTCCTCTGTTATGCAGATTTTGAACACAACACCTACACGCAGGAAGAACTTCCGTAGCACAGCTCGAAGCTCAGGAATCAGGTCAAATTGCATGATTTCACACAAGTATGGGTAATAGGTTGAAGCATGTGCCCTGAACTATCAGAGAACATATGAAAAGAGAAAGTTATTCTCTATTCCTGTAGGAAAGTGCAGAGATTTTCTCATAACACCGTAGCAACATGGACATCACTGAATTGCTGCTAAATGGTGAAAAATCAAATCACCACTACCACCAGTTTCTTCAAATATTGATAAATTGCAATAAAACATTCAAGACTATAATACAGGAGTGAACTGGAATTACAAAATTAACAATACAGGGAAGAAAAGAAAAAAAAAAACAACACTGAGAACAAACAGCACACTTTTAAACTTTCCAAAACAGTTGGAAAAAATAACTTCTCGAGAAAAATAGAAAACACCCACAGATTTAAGCATAAGTTTTTCTGCACGTGATAGCCCAGGAAATAGTTGCATTCACCTTTTCTTCCAAAAGGCTGAGATACAAAGACTGTTTTGTACCACTAATGTCAATAAACTAGATTATCAGTTTTACAATGATGAAGTTTACTTCTATGATTCTATGCAGCTATAATACAGCCTAAGCACATCCTTTACTGCACACTCATGGTGCTTTTGTGTGAAAGTTCTGCAGTAACTGTATCAAGGTTTCTATACAACTCAATTTCATGGGTGAAGTCCAATTCTCACTATGTGGAATGCTTGCTAAAAGATGGAATTGTAATGATTACTGTATTTCAAAGAGAGTGCACACTACATGCATCAGCAAAACAGCAATCTTGTGATATGTACAACAATACAGACTGACTTCTATGAAAGCAAAGATGAAAACACCTGAATGCAAACAATGATGGCATCCAGCCTGTTCTTACCTTTTCATCGTTGATTTTTAGTGTTTTTGTTAAAAGCAACAGCAGGAGATTGGTCCAAGCTTCTCTGTGGCTTTCCGAGTTCACGGTAATAAAATATGCCAGGGCTTCAGTGCATACACTAAAGAGATGTCACAGTTCAAACAGGCCAGAAAAAAAATACACAAGAAGCATTTCTAACATGCACTGTTTGTCCTCTCATAGTGTATTTTGTTTTCACGTAAGATGAAACATATGTTCTATTTAGATTATTTTATCACATTATACCTCTGAATCTTGATCTGTGCTCTGATGTGAAAAGTATTCCTTCACTACCTTTTTTTTAAAAGAGAAGTCAGTCAAGCAGGAAGGTGTTTCATTTATTTCAAATTAATTGTTTCCTTTTTCCTACATTTGCTTTTAATAATGAGCAGCCCTTTATATGTTTATATATCTTCGTATGCTTTTCATGCTCTGCTCAGCAATTTAAAAATGGAACATCCTTGTATCCAAGGATACACCATGCATATTTCACTGAAAACAAAACACACCTGAACCAACTTGATATTCTTACCTAAGCAGTCGTCTTTGTATAGCATCCCAGGAATCTCGGTGGTTTTCATCCACATACATTCGGAAGAGTATTCTCAAGCAACAAGCCAAGCTGCTCGTCTCTTGTTTTAAGAGATTGGGTTTTGATTTACCCTTGAACCCTAGAAATCACACATAGGGAGAGGAGAACATTCACAGTTGTAGTTATCAACCAAAATGTAAAGTTTATCAAGTACATCTCCATTAATGAACAGCAGCAGGTATCTTTTTTTTTTTCAGACAGTATTTCTTCCTCCTTGATTTTGACTGACACCTAACATATTTTTATAAATATATTTAAATACAGCAGTAACAACTGTACAGTGCTGCTGCAATCAAAAAATAAGTAATTTAGAAGACAGAATTAACCTGAAGTCATCAGAAAAGAGACAAGGAATAAAAGCATGTAGTATCAGATAAAACGTAGAGATTATTGCAGTAGCATACTTTATGCACCTTGATAGTTAAAAGCCCTAAGAGAGCTCAGTATATTTTTTAACCAAACTAAACAAAAGCCTCACCTGCTCTCCACAACACAGTTCGTTGTTCATAATTTGAATTAAAGGATTTTGAAAATGAATGAGACTCTTGCAAACAATCTAGTAACTTGAAGAGGTGATGTGAAGACATGTATTTATACATTCCTTGGTCCTCTGTGTCAATGTGGATATCTGCATCCAATGCATCTCGCTAAACCAAAGAGATCAAGACAGAAAGAACAAGAAAGAACACTGTCAGTAATATGTGAAGCATCAAAGTGTCTTAAGATTCTTAGTCTCTTGTATAAAAGGAGTATACCATACACCGCTAACCTGAAATTCCATTTTTAGGTACAAGTGAAGTATTAGTACAATACACTACAGCAAAATGACCTGTTAAAGCTGTGGGCTTTTTTGTTGGAATATTTCAAAGAGAAGTTACAGTACATGTATATCCAGGTTATTGATAAGAAAACTAACAATCTGATCGTCAAACTGCCAGGGAACACTGGAGATGGTCAAAAATCACTGTGTAAAAGTAATGACATATATTCAAGGCAGTACGTAGAGCTAGAAATACAAAGACTACATGCTGTATTTTGTAAACACTTTGAAGCATTCAGTAAGGTACTTCACTGCTCAACAGGTTATTTACATATCTGATGGTACCTGGGCTGCAGCCATGTGCTCAGCATCTTCCTTCTTACTCGTTGCTGGGTAGAACACTATATTATCAATTGTCTGTATCAATTCCAGCTGTACCACACACTTTATAAGGAGGCCAGCAAACAGCTTTTGGTCTAACGAAACAAAAAAACCAGAAGTCTCAGAAGCAACTTATGACAGCCTACATACAACAGATTAGTGAAACATATTACCATTAGCATTTTCATATTTAATGATGCTGTGAATTACCTTATAAAAATACAATTTGCCTAAAAGGAATAAATGCAAGTTTTAAAGAAAGTTTTTCAAGTTCACTATCAAGTACCCTAAAGCTTTCTCTAAAAGACTACAGAAAGAGACTTAGAGTAGCTATAAAAGTTCATGTAGTCAACTTGCATGTTTTCCTTACTTGTATAAGGACCACCTTTCCAGCTTTCATCCATTGGATTTGAAAATTGACTATGTCCTCTTTCTGAAGCATTTTTATCCACACTGCTTAAAGATTGGCGATCTAGGTCCAAATCCTAGAATAAAATTTAGAGCAACTTTTACAACCCAAAATGCTAACTACCAACCAGCTATGCAAATCTTAGACTCAAAATATTCCCCGCATTAACTCTTTTTATCTTATTTGTCATCACTGTCAAATACAAGTTAATGTCAATTCCAGTATTTGTTGTCAACAAATACAATGCAATATTTCAAAAGCTAACTTAACATACAACCTTCCAGCTTCCTTTATTGCACTGGAGTAACTCTTACCAGATGTCTTTCGGCAGAATCTTCCTCCATTCCTACAGGCCTCCAAGTAAGCAAGCTTCATAACAGAGGGAGGGGAAAAAATAAAGTAAATATTGTTGCTCTGAAATCAGGTATTAGTATAACAACTATGCTCTATGTACTTACACATGAGGAATGGTAGTTTTGAAGATTTCTAGCATACAATTGCATGTCTGGCCCCAGACTTCCGGGCTGAATTTCTGTCCATTTAGTATCACCAGGTTTTCTAGGCAGTTTGTACCTGATCGAGCCAACTGCTCATTATCTGTGAAAGACATGTTCTGTATTTATCAACTTTTACAATATCAGTGTAAAATTAAGTACTCTACTATTGCTCCATCAACATTTTTTTTCCCAATTTTGTGAAAGGCATGCTACTTCAGCTCAAACTACTACATAAATCTACTACGTAACTACTACATGACAGTAAATTCAAGCTCAGGACTCTACAGAATATAAAAATAGTGTTTGAAAATAGACTTCATGAGACTGAAATCCAAACAGAAAAGACAAAGGACAAGAAAGAAGCAGAAAGGGAGTGTACACTGGGATGAAGGAAGGAAAGCATGAATTTGAAAGTTATGATTTCCTCCAAGCTAGTACCCCCATTCCATACTAGAAATATGCAAGATTTCAGGTGTAAGAGTCTGGTCCCAAATGAAAAAATATTTAGAAAGACATATCTACAAACATTAGATGGTTGAAATGGAGAGAAAGAGGGGAAAAGCAGATAAAAAAATCAGAATGCATACACACACACAAACACACATATATATGTAAATGAGATATTTATTCCACACAGCCAAATGAAGAAAAGCTGTTGGCAAAAGATTAAAGAGCTGTACTAAAATCTTTTGCTTGGTCCCAGTAGCACCATAAACACATTAATAGAAAAGCTGCCTACCTGATTAGATAGAACAACCCTGGAATATTTAAGATACTGTACACATCTATTAAATTACACATTGCCCTAAAGGTAGTTTTTATTCTTCCAAAATTCAGCTTACTTCCCCCTTCTTAAGTAATAAGCATTTCAAAAATATATTAATCAAAATTAAATAAGCTACCTTGTTTTACACACCAGTGTAACTGTGCAAGTATGTCAGGAAGAAGGATCTCATTTAAAGCTTCATAGAATTGTGTAAAGACATCACAGATTGCATAAAGTGCATGGTTGCATGTAGTGGTCATCCATTCAGATTTCTGTGACAAAAAATTAGAAGCCTTTACTTGTATGTAGGTTCTGCTGTCATGATAGCACTTGGCTTATGACTGGCTATTCAAAAAAGGAGGTAGTCTATGAGAAGAACTCAATTTAGATAAAACTGGAAGAGCCCCCAACACCTACTACTGATGGTATCTTTTCAGAAGCATTTACTTGGCCATACGATAACTATTCAGATGACTATGCAGTTTCACAGAGCGTGAATATTCTCCTTGAACATATTCAGTCAGGCAGAACAGACAGGTCACTGGATACTAGGAGAAGTTTTCCACATGGAAGCTATCTGCATTTGTCATGTTATAGATAACATTACAAATGGAATTTGGGGCAGCATGGGCTGGAAATATACTGACATGGCAAATGATACAAGCTGCAGCCTGGATCATTTGAGTTCTTAAGAAAAAAATACTCCAGAGTTTGCTTATTTGCTTATTTTACCTCTGTTTGTTGTTCAGGAAGTTTCATATTATCAAAAATCCGAAACACAATTCTGAACAGATCTTGCCACCAGTGCTTTTCAAATGTATGCCCATAACTCTTCATTATTTCAAACATCACTGTTAAGCCTCTATAAACAAACAAACATGATATTAAAATGTGTATCTGTGATCCCTTCACTAAATGAATACAAACGAAAAACCAGAAAAGCCTTATTACCTTGTTCGAACATCTAATTTGCAACGATTGATGATACAAGAAAGTTCAAATAAAATAGGGAACCATCCTCTGACCCATACTCTGTCCCCAGGAGCAACATTCATGTCATCACTTGTGTATTCTCTTAATACCTTAGAGATGAGCAGGAAAAAAATATTAAATAAAATCTCGAAAGTCTTTAATTATAACAGGTTTAGATACCATTCATGGCACACAGACAGAATTGAAAATTTAGCTTAGTTTATACTCTAACACTCAACTCCCATCAAATATAAGTCTGAGACATATCTATCTGTGAAGATAGCTGGAAAAAAAATATAGAAAACAAACGTTTCAAGCCAATCAGTTTCACTTAAATTCTGCTAGAGGCTCGAAAAACTGCAGAGATTTGTACTTCAGGAAGCAAGTTTAACAATGATAGGAAACAATTATACAAATTAGGCAAATTTATACAGAAGATGACAGTGAACAAAAACAGAAGGATTAAAAAAATACCTGTGGTCTTTCTGAAACGTATTTTGCACAATATCGGATAAGTCTAATTGCTTCCATGCTCGTGTCCGGGAACGCAACATTACAGGCAAACTCAGAAAGACATTTTACTGCATCTTGGAATGAATCAATTGCTGCTGGAAAGTGCTGTTGAAAAATATTTGCTGTCAAGAACAAACAAAAAGCTTATTAAAACTTACTGGTATTGAAATACAGATATGAACTGGTATTGATTTACTGAAGCCAGGCATGGCATACCAGTACTAAACATACAAACATGGAAGGAACAGATCTTCTGGATTAGGTAGTTTCATGTCTTCCCTTGTGCTCTTCTGCATCCTGTCCTCTCAGCCCCAGCATCACATGTTCTCAGGCTGGGCAATTTCTAATTTATATTCTAAAATTCTTTCATATTTTCTCATCTGGTTCCATTTCCATTCACAGCATATACCACCCAACAATATCGTAAAATATCCCTTAAAATATCTTAAAAAATAATAGGAGTTAAAAAAAATAAAATAAGAGTAAGGCTTGATGTTAGCTTCCCTGCTGTATATGAAGTTACATAAATTAATCTAAGCCACCCAAGCCTGAAGTTAATCAGATTCTGTATCAATAAAGGAAAAAGCATTTGATTTCATACTTAATGGACAGACTTTAGAAAACAAATCCAATGCATACAAGCTTTTGAACAGCCTACAATTCCCAAGATCTACGTATTTCAATTTGGACTCAATCTTTGTAGGTACCTTCCAACTGAACTATTCTAATTCTAGTTCAAGTTGACAAAAAATTTTGCTACTTGTTGCATTTATTAATGCCGTCTATCACTATTCTCCTCCCATGCTTATTAAATATTCCAATATTTAATGGGAGTAGGGCAGCTTCAGGACACATAAAGCTCCCATCAATACACTGAAATTCCACTTCAAGAATATTCAAGTCAGTTGTCTTTCTTTGAAAGTGGCAGCAGTATATTGTTCAAATATAGTTTTAGAGCAGGTAGCCTGAAATAAACTCTACAAGTAATCACCTATCAGTGTCACAAGAATCGTGATCCCCACCATATAAAACTGGAACAGCGTGGAAGTTCGTGCAATCTGTTAACACAGTTTTCCTAATCAAAATTAATTTATTGCAACAGAGATGGGCAACCTAGGAACTTACTGAATTTATTCCTGATTTAAAGAGTTTTGTAGCAAGGAATTATTTTTTTCATATCCACAAGAAAAAAATCCTAATCCCATTCCTATCTATTTTTTCCTGTCCATAAAAATCAGTAGACTTAACAGATAAGACCTAGCTGCAGAGTTTTAAGAGTTTACTTACAAGACTGAATTTATTTACTAGGGAATACAAAGCTCATATGCAGATGGGCCTTTTAAACCAGAGTCACAGCAGCTAAGCTAATTTGTGTAGTTGTATCTGTTAGTTGCATCTGTTACTACTTACTAACTATATGTGCTGTAGTTTGAAAGGCCAGCTCCACAATATTCCCATCATGGTCTGATGCTGCTTGGTGAAAGACTGCAAAGATATTTTTCCAGCCTGAGCGAATATTGCCAGCTTGAGAGTTCACCATCTGAGCAATACAGCGTATTACCATGTCCCGAATAGTTGGAGATCTTAAAAAGATGGAAACCAACACTATGTCAACTACCATTTCCACATACAAGAGAATTCAACCCACACAAAGTAGAAATAAAGCAAGCTAACAAATACCACTCCTTCACACCTGTTTTTCTTCATAATATGCTCAAAAGGCCTTAAGAAGTCTTTCTGGAAACGGAAGTTGGCTAACTCTCCCTTCTCAAGAAACTTCATGGACAGCTGCCTTAATGAGTCTACCGCAAAGATGGCAACATCTTCATTAGGGTTACATCCAACCTAGAAGAAATACAAATTTTCAAGCACTTATATAAGTAATACATTAGCCAGTAATTTTTCTATCATTTAAGTTTCATGGTCAGTCCGTGAAAATTTCAAGCATGTTCTAGTTTTTAGATATTTAGAAAATAGGGAACTGTCTCAGTCATTGGAGACATCTAAGCAGCTCCTTGGATTTTGTATACAACAGTAGCATAAGAAAAAACAGCTAGACATTCAAAAAACAAACCACAGAAAATCAGTTAGAAAAACACATGGTCCAACTTCCTAAGGAAAATAACTTTGTCGTTTCAGGATTATCCGTACACACTTTAGACAAAAACTAACTTGGAATTTGATCAGGAGGATAAGAAAGGCATATATGAAGAAGTATAAACATTAAATCGTATAATAAAGTGATTAAACATCATTCTCAAACATTTTCATGCCTGCTTATACCCTTTAACGTTGATGTCTTTTTCACTTTTTGTGCTAGAATCTGGTTATTTAATTAACATTGTTAGCATTACTCCAAATCAACTGCTGAGAAGTTTGCGCCTTCAATGTGTTTTTTTTTTTTTTTTAACATCACAATCTATACCACTCAAGAACATTAGAAGAAAAAGCTGATCAAACAAGTCCTGCCACATTCATACATGTTCTTTAACCTGACTTTTAAAAATACCTTGTTGAAGTGATCTCCAATCACTTGCCAAATCCTTGACCACTGCAACCTAATGCGATTCATGTTGTAATAGGATATCTCCACTATCTTCTGCAGACTGAACATGCGTGGATGGTGTGGGGAAGCCAGCTCATCCATAGAAACAGCACACAGCCATCTGACAAAGTCAACTGAACATTAAAACACTACTGTAAATTCAGGATGTTACACTGCAAAAATTCCTGTAACCCACCACACAGTCAGCATACATACCTATCGCATTTCCATCCAGTCTAGTCGATCCTGTAAATATCCTGTGGAAGAAATAAATGCGTTGCAGATTTAGCTGCACATCCACAAGAGTCAGTCACATTTCAGTGCTGTAGACAATTGTCAGCATATGTCCTGGAGGTACGTCACAACCCTCAACACCATAACCTCTGCAACTGTTTTAATCTTTGGTAGCAGCTCATGTACCTTTCCTAAGTCTAAGCAGACCCTTCCCTGCTGCAAGTCAGTCTGCTATACTTCTTCCAGGAAGAAGTATTCCATAGCAGGAAACAGGTACTGAACAAAAACATGAGCCTGTACAAGTAGCACTGGAACTCTCATTTGGTTGATAACGTTAAATAGCATTGAGGGAGTGAAGAGACATTAAGAGAACTTTGCTGCAAGACTCTGCTGGATGCCAGCCACCCGCTTGCTCTTTCCATGGTTTGAGAGTACTCTATGCTGTGGCTGTCAAAACAGCCACAGAACTATGGATCATTAAGTTCCTTCCTCCCCTTTAGCTCTTCACAGTCGAGAGAAGTTAAAATCACTGACTGTGATCCACATAAATCACTGGTAATACTCCCAAATCTGCGATGTAGTATATACACATCATGCTATAATAAAAACTATACTCTTGATTATGTAATTAATTCTGCTTCCAACATACAGTTTATGATAGAAGCATCTCTTTATCCAACATTTTAGAGAGACGGATGAACAAGATAATGATTTGGACAAGAATACATTTATTAATAAATGAAAAGCTGCAGAAGAGCAACTAAAGAAATGCTGAAACACTGAGGTTCGCAAGACCAAAGAAAACAGCATGATTTAATAGAATACGAACATATCTTCATTTCAGATACCAGTCCACTTCGGGCTAAATCTGGCAGAAGAAATCCACATACACAGGATGCATGCAACACAAATTACATAGACAGTATCAGCCTCTTTCTCACTCTAGAAATAGGCTTCAAGAACAGATGTCCCTGACAGTCTGCAAATAATGTGAGGGTGGTCAGTAACTTCAAGCCACGTTTTCCCTAGAACAAGATGAGATTCTAAGTACCTGTCTACTGCTACCACTACACTCTGTGAACTGGTCTCTCCCACTGACTCTTGAATGCTTGCCATATGCCGTTTATCAGCTCCACTTCCAACAAGGTTACCTGCAATAACAGCCAGAAGAAATCAGTACTTCGCATTATGAAATCATGACCTTATAGTAACCTTAACTTTATACAAGTAAACAAAGATAAGCAACTACTGCATCCAATTACCTTGCAAATTTATACGGAGAACATGGTGCCTTTGCCTGATCTGTGTCAGATTATGACAAAATTAAAAAGCACTAAGAGGCACTTTTTTTTATGAGGGCATTGTGTCTTTGCCATCATGTTAATTAAGATGCAATGCTGTTAATAAGATTGGAACTGAGAAAACAGCAAGCCCAAAACACAGAGATAAGGAATTTCTTTGGAGAAAACAATTATCAGTCACTGTAATGTTCCTAAAGATAAACAATTTGTTTTTATTTTTAAACAGAGCATAAAAAGGAAGAACAGGTAACACTGGCACGAAAACAATTACTTCATTTGTATGGCAAAACAGCTTTGACAACATCACATTCTAACAACTAAATCTTGAGTTTTGTTTAACAGCTTAACACAACTGAAGTCATTAAAATAGGAATGTATTTGGTAATCATTAAAACATCTTTAAGTATAAATTGTTTTTTGTTTGTTGAAGTTCCATTAATCCTAATAGTTTCCACTAAAAGCAAGAAAAAAACATTTTGGTATCTTATAACACTCAACTTTATCAGCCACAGTACTTCACTTATTTATGCATCTTCATGAAGTCTAAGATTAATCATCTTACCTAATCCCAGGCCCATAAACTCTTCCCCTCCAGATGTATAGCCTTTAATGCTTCCTTCCCTTTCACGCCCAGCGCCAGATAAATACCGAGTTTTCACTCCAGTTCCTATAAGTTGTGCTAGTTCCAGCTGGCTAATACATTTCAAGATCTGAAAACAAAGGCATTTAAACACTGTTTCTGAATATCATACATTTATTCCTAACACTCTTCAGATTGTCTAACCTTTAGAACAACTTGGACAACTATAATAGTTCTGATGTAAGTGAAACAACATTACTAATACAACTGGAAATAAAGTTGCATAGAATGATTCATTCCCTACCACCAGCTGCCATGAATCATTCCCATATTAGAAGAACAAATAAACAGTAACATGAAATCTAACATCAGAAGAGACCATTTCATTACTTCTGCAGCATCAACTTTCAAAACTGCGAACAACTTCACCATTCCAGAAGTGAAAAGATTGCATCATTGCAGCTCCCGCTATGCCATGATGTTCAGTGCACACAGTGAAAATGCCACAGCTGTGCCTTGCTATAGGCACTGAAGGGGCCTTTTCTTCTTTCCTTACACCCGCGCTGAAACATCCCTTTAACTGGCACAAGCATTTGTAGGGGTGTACTTTAAACCAGGTCCAAGTGACTTGTCAGCTAGAGTCCCTTTTGGCTCCTATCACCATGCGGCCAAAGACTAGTGCCAGAGAAAATAACACAGCAGGAATGACCCTTTTAGCAGCATCACAGAAGATTTATATCTGATTGAAGAGTTTCTGGGAAACATGCTTTATGAAAATATATATGATCCTGATAGATTACCCTTGCCTGTCCCTCACTAAATTATTCTGGCCACAATTCTTCAATCAATTGTCGTGTAGAAGTTCCCAACCACTGCACAGAGAAGTCTTGAGCTGTGAGCTGGAGCGTTTTTGTTTGTATGAAGAAGAAGGCAATAGTTTCTGTGCAGGATTCCCTGAAGTCAAATGCAGTTTCAGTATGGTTTTAATTCCATATCAAATGCACCTTCAAACATTACAATTCTGTTCACACAGTGTGTAGAGAGCCTGCCAAAAAAAAATAGTGTCCTCCCCTCTCCTTTTTTTTTTTATTTTAAATAAACAAAATAATGCACTTGTACTGATATTTCAAGCAGAGTTCTGACACATCCTGGGAGGTAGATGCGCTTACTACAGACCGAAAGTATTGAGCACATCAGAAGAGCAAAATCCTCCAAGTTCTTTTGGACAAAAGGACAGTGCAGTTGTATACTTAAGCTATTCAAGTTTTTACCTCATGCCAAGAGTTCCCGAGATAGTTGCCATCTGTGTGAGCAACTGTAATAAGTGTCTTAATGGTATCTATGTTCTTCTGTTTCATTTCTGTAATACTGGAACTGGCAGTCAACAAGGAAAACCGAGCAAGGGCCTGTACATAAGCATCTCGTTCAAGCTATGAGACAGAGAAACAAGTCATTGTAATCAAGTCTCTGAAGAGCTACAGAAGGATACTTCTCCAGCATGCCAAAGCAATTTTTTTCTACATAGTCAGTGACTATACTAAAACACTTCTCAGCAGAATGAAAATAGAAGGCAAGCTGGCAAATACTTTTACAGGACTTGGCAACAAAAGGAAAGCAGAACTTGAGAAAAGCTTTAACATTTAAAGATCTTCAACTGAAAAAAGATGGTACTGTTTTATTTGACCACTTCAACAATGTATGTAAGCCTTATTTTCTCTGTGCAAATTATTTGCAATTCCTCATTCCTCCACCTTCCTCCCAGAATCTACACTGCCTACATTAACAACACCCATGCTCAGTCTCACACAAACCTGCATTCCAAAGATACAGGCTATTCGAATTGCACATCGTATTCCTTCCAAACAAAGGGATGCAACTTCTGTGTCATCACAGTTCTGCAAACCAACACTGTAAGCTGCCAACAACGGTGTCCATACAAGCTAAAGAAAGGAAGAAACAAAGTTCAGGAGTTTGCTAAGGTTTTAGCCCAAAACACTGCACAACTTGAACCATATATATCCAAAATAAAATCCACCTGTTAATTCTCTCACAGTAATTTCTCCACTTTTTTTTCCTTGCTTGAAACTCTTAGCAATGAATATACACGGTAAATTTCACACACTTACTTTGAACATGGGCCTGACATGGTCCAGATGAGTGGCACTAGTAAAAGGAGCCTTTGCATGGCTTACTGCCTCCATGAGAGCTTTAGCAGTTTTAGCCATTTGTTCCATCTCCAAGTTGTACAACAGCCTCCGCTGCTTCTCATTAGCTACACCTAAGGGAAACACCACACAGATGATTTGGTTTGTTTTCATAACAGCACAATCCACATCTTCTTACTGAGTATCACAAAAATTAAATGAAGGTGTTCCAAACAGAATCCAAATGCATCCTCCACAAGTGTTAGAATTCAGGAAGCTGTCACAGGTCACAAGCAAGGAGTTCTAGCACTAAAACCCACATGCCAACTTAAGACTTTATTCTACACAATGCAACTAATTCAGCACTTTATTATATGCCATGTGTTGTGACCTAATCACTAGAAATCAGAGAGGCATACTCTATTAAGTCAAGCCACTCCACTTATAAAAATGGATGGAAAATCCTTCATTGCTTAGGCTGACATGCTCAGTACAAAACTGGCTATCACCAATTTGAAGAAGAAATTACTAACTGTTTTTCTTTACCCTTACACTAAAGGTTGCAACTTCACTTTTCATGAAGATAAATTGTTCCTGTTCTGATCTAGGAAACTTGCAAGTGGCACAAAAACACCAGAAAAGCACTATGCTGAAGATTCAGAATTTGCTAAATAGAATTAAATGAATAGTCACTATCCTGAGGAAGCACAGAGTACAACCAGAGATAATGGTTTCTACAAATATACTACACGCATAAGTCTCTTTCAAACATTATCATAATGTGACATAACGAGACTGTGACATTTATCAGCCTTTGAATTGCACGTATGCCATGCTACTGATAAGGAAACAAAAGCTTACCTGCTGTCTAACATTTTGCTAATTAGCAAATCAAGTGCTAATCAGTTATTTTACCACTTCCCTCACACTTACATGAAAAAAACATTAGTTTCTAGTGCCTCTGCAATGGTGCTGGATGCACTCACACATCTGTTTCCATCATAGAAGTAGCTGCATTAATCAATAACTGAGACGGTTTCATTCCAGATATAGATATTAGCATTCTAAATTTAATTTATTTATTGCACAAAGTTTTTTCAGAAGGGCTCTGAACTCCACTACACCATCCTGAAAGTTAATGCAATAGTTCAGAATACTGTGGTCATTCCAGTTTCTAGTTCCTTCTTACTTGGTTTACTACTCTTGGTTGTAATTGCGTATTCTTTTGTCTCTTTCATAGCAATTTTCTTTCCTTCTATTTCTTCATAGATCGTGGATAAATACTCTACTGGAAGGTCTTTACTGTCATTGATTCCTCGATTCATTTTAATGTATTGTTCCTTTGTCATTTTATTCTTTACCTGTAAAAAAAAAAAAAAAAGAATCAAGGTATCAGATTTTGCATACCAAGTTCTCAGGAAATCTGAACTTTTACAAATCTGGTTTTGTTTCTTTTTATTTTCTACCTGTGGACTGTGCAAGTCTGTAGTCAGCATTATAATAGAGTATGCCAAAACATAGGCAGTGTCAGCACTAGCAAAAAGTGTTTGCCTATGAAAGGGGGAAAAACAAAACAGGTTATTGAGAGGCTTCATTCCTCTATCCATTATCTCTATTTCAACATGCAGAAAAAATACCCAGAAGCAATACATATTTAAATAGATCATAGACTCAAGTTAGTCTTCAGAAATGCATAAAGCCCCAAATAATTTTGGTTTTTATTTGTATCTTAAAACCTAAAAGCAACACCTTTGCAAAGCTGTATACAAATGATGACTAGGGGAGTTTCAAAGGCACTCCCAAAATCTTGTATTTTATCCTTCTTTGGGTGACCACACAAAAGCTAAGGAACAGCCTATTTTTCACTCCCAGGCTTTCATCAAGAATTATACAAAACCGACCCAGTGATCCATCAACAGGACTACAGAATGGGAACCAATTAAGCCTGTACACCTAGCGAAACATCACAGCTAATTTCTTTATTGCATTAGAAAAGAAAACACTGCATCCTTGATGTCAACTAACATACATGCATCATTGTTCAGCATCTAATTGCAAGCAAAAACATATAATATCTTAGCAGTTATTTAAGCCATGTAGTAGTTACTATTGCTCATTGCTGTTATTTACTCTTGACTAACCCACATTTGTCAAAAACCAGAACAGTTAACACACAGATAATTTAACATACTTAGGGCTTCCCTCTTCCAGTAATTCCTTCTAGCAAGTATTTGGAACCTAATGAAATGCCGCCATCCATACACTTTAGAAACGTTTTACCTAGCTGGTGAAGATATTCTGCATCAATATAAGTAACAAGAACCGCTCTCCCATGCAGACCTGTAGAAATACCTGACCTGGTAAGAGTGAGTGTTATACCTTATGGCTAAAGGCCATGAACAAAACAGACATTTTTCAGGTACGTACGTATCCAATACAAACGTTTTGATTTACCGTTGGTTGCATTCAATATATCTAGCAGCAAACTTCTCCATTAATCTATCAATCTTCTGGGCTTCACCTGGCAGCCGGAAGCCTTCCAGAAATATACGTAGAGCAGAGACAAAGTCTTTCCCACAGAAATCAAGCTGGTCTACGTAGGCATACATCACTTCCTTGTTAAACTTGTTGCTTTCCCCAAGAAATTCTCCTACTTGAGTCTAAAAAACACAAGAGACAGTTATTACTGTGTAATCCAACTGCCAGCTTCGCAATAAAGTCTAAGTACAAGAGTTGCATACTAGTGAGTTTTGTAAGACTTCACTGAGCAGGCAGAGTAACTGTTACAAGGATGACAAGAAACCAGTCTCAGTAGAAAATGGATTTAGCTTGCATATTCTTGCTTCCCTCATTCCCCATGGTGAATTCTGCATTATTGGAGGGCCAAGGAAAGGTGAATTGCACTCAATTTCACATGCAGTGGACTATGCTTTGCCACTGCGGCACGTGATATTTCTTTGCTGGCCAGATCACAGAACAACAGAATCATCTAGGTTGGAAGATACTGCTGATGTAGATATATAAAGCCACATGTTCCTGTTCAAGGGGACCCCTTCAGCACTTTATTGTAAACACAATTACTTTACTAAAAAGCCAGGGACAGCAAATAAGGAGAAAGCAGCATTGGGATTAAGTACATTCATTAGAGCCTTTAGTTTCTAGTTCTTTTAATTAAATATGAACTCTGAGTGCATACACAAATATCAGACGATGACAGGGGAAAAGTATTCCTGTTAAAACATTATGAACTATCTTATGTTGCCCATAGTCTTACAGAACAGAGACGTTCTTCTTGGTGCAGAAATTGCGCAATGTCTTCTGCTGTAGTACCAAGCATTCCCTGCTCCTGTAGATACTGTATTCCTCGCTTTGTTTTTTTGTTAAACCTATTCACAAAAACAGGGAGAAAGGTGATACATACAATTGAAAACATCCCCACCAATAAAGTTTTAGTTTTAAAGAGCTATTCTAAACCAAATGCTAACTTGCAGTTTTGTCTCTTTCAAAGTTAGAAAAAGGACAAAGAACATGCAATAAATACATGAACTGTATCACGCAACAGGCTATATCTCATAAGGTATATTCAGTTGCTAGTAAGGTTATAAATTATTGCTACCATTAAAAACTGACCCATTTGAAACACCTGAAATTGGAGAATTTTCATGAAACATTAAAAATGTTGCTGTTCGTAGCATTTACAGGCAAAGATCTCCAAATAAATGAAACAGAAATAAACCATTGCTAGAAAATCATTTAATTACAACTATTTCAATAATAGACAACAAATGGTTTAAGAGCTAGAAGACAACATTAAGCCTGTCTGCTCAGATCAGTATATATACACACTTTCCTCTCTTATATGGCTGAACCAGCACAAAGGAAAGCTATGAAACCACACACCACTCCACCCAAGATTTCACTGAATTCCTTTTTGACTATGACAGCCTCCAATGTTAGCTCTTAACAACAGCAGGCAAGCATCTTCCAGATTAAATTCAGCTTGTTAGCGTCCCTGCACGTGTGACTGTCTAAGACCATAAGAAACAATATGGTTGTATGTATCATTTCTTTATTAGCAAGTTTTCATTTTCTTGTCATATTGAACTTACAGCTCTATCCCATGTTCAATTATTTCCTTTTGTTGTTTGATAACTTCAAATTGCTCAGGGTCATCTGGGACAGAGGTCTGGGTACCAACACTTCCAACTCCTGATGACACAGTGGAGTCCAAGGAACTGACACTACTCCGTCTCCCTCCACTCTCAAGGCATTTCCCTTCAGCCATTTCCTGTTCAGATGGTTTGTACAAACCTATTTATGAACAGGGAGAGACTTAAGTCATCCTGTTCAGCAAAAAAAACATTTAGTCAGAAAAACTTCTACTAGATGTTTATGAGCCAAAATTCTTATTTGAGTAGGCTTACTTTTTGACAGTCTGCAGTACATGAGTAAGCTACATGGATGCAATTCTGAAACAGTTCAGCAGAAGGAAAAAAAAGCATCAGAGCCTATGGAGAAAACTTGCACTTTAACCTCACAACTGCAAGATTTGTCCCATTTCTTGTTCTACATAAATCAGCTTTTCTAGTGTTGACAATGGCCTGGCTAATAGCCTTAAAACAGAATCTGGTTATTTGAACCAGATGTTCAAAGAATCAGTTACTGCAACATCACTAATAACCATCTGTAAAAATATCTTACTTGTATAAACAATTTGTCATGCAAAAACGTAGCATCTACATTGCTGAATAAAACTTCCAAACCATAAGGAAATACAGGGACAAACTTACTTAAACAAACCATCTTACCCAAGCTAGCCTGATGATTGGGGTTCACATAAAGGTCTTTGCTCCATTCTACCATACACTTTAAAATAGAAACCAAACATTCAAGTCCTTTTTTCCTCAGGCTTAGTTCCTAAAAATATTCAACAACAACAAAAAACAAAAAGCAATACACATATATATTATAGTTTTAGGATGCATTACAAACATCAAGAACATACAGCAAGTACATAGCATCAGATCTCTCCACAAACAAGACAAGTGTCTCACTACCTTAGCTGTTCAGTAAACAGTCTTAAACACTGAAGCAAAAGTCTCTTGGTATCGCTTTTACTTTCTGGTTAAAGGAACGCAGAAAAAAATAAACCAGCAAGTACTGATGCAATTCTAATCAAAGGAATGAGGTGCACTCCAGATGAAGATACTTCTGGGGCATAAATCTCAGGAGGAAAGTCATTGGGTAAAGTAGAAGGTGGCTCATTTGATTCTCTCTCCCTTAGCAAGCCAACAAAAGAGCCCAGAACAAGCTCAGGATCACAATGAAAACACACACAGTAAATCCAAGTAAATCAATCATATTGCTTCATCATCCAGTTTAACTTATCTAACACAGCTAACTAATAAGTAACATCAGTATATTATGAACCATGCAAACCACTGGAAGTATCAATAATGTAGAGATATCATCATTTATGGAAAATAAAATCTGTACCTGATCTTCAAAAGTGTTATTTTTACCTGCAAAGGTGTCATTCCCAATTCATGCCCACTTCGTCCCTGTGCTATTTTGGACAAATCATTTACAAGGCGTTCAAATATATTAGCAGCGTTTAAATCACAGTCATAGTTAACATAAATATCCACTACACACTGGGCATCTAGAAAATAAATGAAAGTGCAAGCATTAGAGTTCAGCGTAACAGCATTTTTAAAAGGAAACAGACAGTTTGAGCAGGCAGTGAGGGTTAACACAGACATTTTAACCCAAGCACTATGGGATCAAATTAATTTTTTCACAGAATTTCTTAAATATTGTATGTAGCATTTGTCTTCAAAATGATTTTACTCTGCTGCCAGAGGAAGCATCTGCTTTTCACAATAGAAATACCTGCACAAATTCTAGTTAAAGTCTGAATCACCATCCATTTGTGTTCAAAGGAGCTTGAGGAAGTCTCTAGAATATTCAAGAAGATCTCTTTGAAGAACACCTGCAAAATAAATGCAGTAAAGGACTTGATCTGAAACTTGTTGGAAATAAATCAAGAGTGCAAATTCATTTCTACTCAGTAATTTCTCTTGCATACTAGAATTCAAATGTAGTAGTAATTTACCAGTTTACTAAGCCAACCAAGCTAAGACATCAACTTCTAAGTTCCCATTGGACTTTTATCGTGGCAGTATCCTTATTTGAGAACTACAACATCATTAAAACGAAAGAAGTTTCTCACCTCGATCTGCATTTTTAAATGGGTCTTAAAATTTGAGAGAAGCGTGAGAAAGATGGCAAGAGAGAGCTCAAATACATCAGGAACAGATGAGACTCCATTCTTAGATAATGCTACACAAAGGTATTGCTTTATTGCATTGATGAACATTTCATGTGTCCTGAAAACTGGACCAGCATTCTGCAGTACTGAGAGAAGAAGCTGAAGAGACACTATCTTAGAACGCAATTCATGGGATCTAGAAAAAAAATCAACATTAGTTATTGTATCTCTGAATAAATACTTATGTACTACTTACACTTCATGAAAAAACAACTGCTATTTTAAGCCATTTCAAATGGGAAAAAAAAACATTAGCCTGCAAGCAATGCTGGACAACAGCTACAATCTTCATTTAGAAATTTTCCAGGAATATTAACAACTTGGACTAGGATAACAGATACTTGCAATTCAATCCTATTCAAAAGGATTCCCCTCCTAACACTGCTGCCCTCGAAAAAAATGAAACTTCACAAATACCACAAGGCCACTTCACAAGACCACTTCAACTGATACGGTTAACAAACAAACTGATCACACACAAAAAAGAATCCCTCAAGTATTACATTTCTAATACTATGAAGCAAGTTTCAATCTTAGATTCATCAAGCTAACTGAAACACGGGCCTGACAGGTGAATTCTGAATGCCTGCTTTAGTATACAGCAACTACTTAACTGCACTCCCTGTCTCCAAAAAGTATCTAGAGAGGAGAATGCAACGAATACAATCTCATTACTTGGGATCTGGAGGTCCATCACCAAGTGGTTTCATGGAGAGCTTGCACAGTGACCTGAACACAAGGAAGGCATCCTTCTGTAGAACATGGGAAAATTTTGCAGCAGCTTGATGTCCAGATACATCTGTTTCCTAAAGAGCAAGAAATAAAACATTAGATCCTCAGTGAAACAAAGGAACAAAACAATTGGGAAGATGCTACAGCTCTTCTGAGAAGGCATAAATGAAACCCTAAAATGGCAATACAAGTGACCTGGGTCTTTTTTTTTTTTTTGAACACATGTTGACTGCCTTTCCCTCTTCCCGTCAATATTAAAATAGAATTAACAATAAATTTTAGAACAGTTATTTTCAACATCTACCTAAGCTGGAGTTGCCGCTTCCCTTTTAAACCTAAGGACACACACATGAAAGCTTCTGTTCCTTCCCTCCCCAAAATCCCACATTATTAGTTGGTGTGAAAAGAATGTTTCTCTTTTCTATCCATACACTGGCATCCAGTGAAGTTATTTACCAGGTTATCAGTAGAGGAAACAGACTGTCCATCATCTGGAATTCCATTCGTTTGTACATTTTCATTACTGGAGACAGAAAGAGCAGTATCTGCAGTTTCTACTGCAGGTAGAGCCTTAATCAGTTCTGTTACCTGTTTCTCTTCAGCCACTAAAGGAGAAAAAGAAAAATACAATTGAAATCGCTCACTGACATTGTCCCATGACATTTGTGAAGCTCTACAACTGACTGAGACAGAAGCAGCACTAATAAACTAGAAGAATTTTTCAGTTATGAGCAAAAGAGGAATCCTTTAAGACAATGAAAGACTGCCCTTACTGCTTTAGTAGGTGTTCTTTACAAGATGCTTAGTAGTAATAGTAAAAAAAAAGTATGCTTTTATAATGAGAGGAATAAAATTTTGCAATATGCACGCATCTATTTTACTTCAGAAGATTTCACTACCTTTCACAGCTGACTCAACTACATCTTCCAAGATGCCTTTAACCATTTCCTTTCCTCCATCAGTAGTTCCATCTGATGAAACAGAGATAATTTTATGAGTTTTGTACTTTTGTTTAGGAAGAAGACAAAGAATAAAGGGGACAGAGACAGAAGTGTTAACAGTTGTAGATTTTCTTCACTACCTCTCATTTAAAACCATTTATAAGATGCCATATGAAAATACTCATTTTATTTCCTTAAATTAAATCAAAGCACTGATATTTTTAATGCAGTAGTTTTGTCATTGTATTTACCAACTGTCAGGAATTTTTTTCTTTCATATACTTTCCTAAATTGGATACAGTATACGGATATGATAACGTCTTCATAAAATGCATTGTTTTTTACCATGACATTTAGATTATCTCAAAGTAATTCTGTCACCTCAGGTGTACCACAATTATCCTCTCTCCTTTCCTTCCCTATCTAACTAACAAAGTCAAATTCCAGTATAATTCTATATACATAACTACGTATAGTTTTACTAGAATTCTTGGGCAGATGAAGAACTTTTCTTCAATGATTATAATGTTGTAGACAATATGTAATAACAGCCTGTATACTCTCAATAGCTACCAAGACCATATGTAAATATGATTTCAACCAATAACCCCAATCATTTCTCCCCAAAATAACGTAAGAGAACAATTTCCAATAGAAATGTAACCAAAAGCAGTACTTGTTCACCTGATGCTGAAGGAATCAGATCCTGCCCTGACTTCAGGTTTCCATATTCTGTTCTCTCAGGCTCACCGTTAGTTAATTCCACACTTAAAGTCACAACACATTTGTCTTCCTGATGGTTGTGCTTTAACTGACCAATCTTTGGAGACCTGGTGACCACATGAGTTGCAGGAGACACAGATTTTTGCTGATTTGTTTTTTCTGCTTCTCTGGATTCTTGTACCTTGAGAAAGCATTATAATAAAGTTAAGTCAGAAAACATGATAAAGAAAAATAAATGCCTATGGTAACCAATGTTCCCATGAGAATTCATGTGCTAATGAGGAAAAACCCAACAACGAAGATACCATCACTTGGCCACTCCAGTCAGAAACACTTGCTTTAGCTTAGGCACTCCAGTATCAAGTTCATTTTAAAAGCAATTCATCATTTGTTTGTACAAAGCTGTTCAGCAAAAGCTACAATGTGAAACCTTGTTATCAGCAATAAGTTTCATGTGTTATTTTTAACCAATTGGTCGAATTCCTTAACTTCAATATGCTTCATTGCAGAATTTGACAGCTGTTTTAAATTTCAAATGAACAGATATCTAACTACAATGACAGACCTATACAAAAAAAGTATTCTGTTCATTTGTCAAGCCTAGATGTTTGATAGAAGCAAAAGTAATAGGTACATACAGATTGATTTTCCATCCGTGTAAAAATGACATTTAGCATCTGTGTAAGTGTAGCTTTGGCGGTCGTCTGATTAATAAGATTTTTACTGGCCAGATAGATGTTGTAACAGGTTCTAACTGTTTGAAGAACTGTTCCTTCATGAATTTCTATATATGGAGACGTTACTGCAGTGAGGAGAGCCTGAAAAATTCCACAAAACAATAGAACTGAGGCAATATACTTTATACAAGTCTTCCATAAAAATCTGTGGTTTTGTTATGCAACACATACATCTTTTTATAAGACTTCTTTATAAAGAAATACTAGTTTTCTGAAACTACATTTCAAGCAAAAGAAAATTTAATATAACTTACATATATCTTTGTTCTCTCCTGACCTGTTAAAGTGTTTTTTATCAGAATTAGTTTTCCACTGAGTTTTCCACTGACAGTTTTCCTGCTCTGAACTAAACAGTTACCATTATGTTTTATAGCTTCATTTCTGTAAAACTGTCAGTTGGCCTAAATTGTTATCAAATTAGATTATTAGGAAGTTCACCAATTTATAATCTTAGCTACATTAGCCCACGTAAAGATATGAATCAGATCACACACAACTGGTACTCCTATGACTTGTTGAGAAGATGAACTGCAGCAGTCTGAAAAAATTGACAAGAGAGCAGACAGACTAGAGCAACAGTCCATGATACTGCATTACATTAATGTGCCTTCAAATGAAAGTTCCACAGTGTGATAGTATAAGGGTGACAGTAATTCAGTAACCGAATGAACGTGAGCATTACTAACCTAGAAGACGAACTCCAAGTTGTCCTATTTCTACAACATCAAGTTTCGAGGCCATGGGTCATTCCAGAAAGTAGAACCAAAGTTTATATACTAATCCATTATATTCCGCTTCACCAAAAGAAAATTTATTTCACATATCAATTCAGACCCTCTGGTAGCCTCCATAAATTCAGCAACATAGCTAGTGTTTTAAGAAGTGGAGAAACTGGGTCCTAAGCAGCATTTCACATTTAATTTTTTTTAGTTACAAAATCAGAGACAAAAATAGCAAATTACAATCATGCCAAAATGTGCCAAATAAAATACCTTAATTATCTGCAGTTGTACTCCTTCATCTGTTTGAGGACCCTGAAAGCAATTGCAAATTGTATCAACTATTCGGTCAATCAGTCGTTTTCCAGGAGCTCCGCTATCAGGGGCATTGCCAGTAATATGTCCATATGCAATAAGTTTCTACGTAAAAAGAACACAAGTTAGTTCTATGATTCGGACAATCACATACTGTTTAGTAAAATACAGCATAGGAATGGCGACGGGGGGGTAAGCAGCAAACCTCACTTAACCAACTTTAACATAAAAATTATTACCTTCAGTAATCTGGGTCCTAAGTACTTGTGGACAAAACAGGATTTAATAAGCAATACATTCTGCCATTCATAACATTTCTGTCTACCACTACCAGACAAAACCTTTTATTGTCAGTCTTTGTACCTACTCACAATAGAAAAGTTCTGCCCAAGAAGTTAGCTAGGGTCAAGTCAAAATTGTTTTTTCTTTATGTATCTAAGGAGGAAAGAAGTAGAACAATCCCAAAGTCTGACCTCCCATCACATCAGCATTACAAGGGACACCATGGTAAATAGACCTTTCAAACCAATGCAGATTAAGTATCTTTACACAATAACCCAGGAGCTTCAATGAATGTTTGTTTCCCTACAGAACAACAAATGTGCATTTCCTGCTTTCACAAGATGCACTTTGAGCCAAGTCTGATGACAACCTATTTTGCATGATTTATGCATCAAAACACCCATAGCAGATATATGCATAGCTGCATGTTCTCAGGATATTTCTTCTGCACTCGAAGAAAGCCAACAGCATGCAAGGTAACTGCATGTTACTCCATTTCAGTCTGTCCGAATTGAAGCTTACTTGTAAACAGTCCAGGGAAGTACTGACAATGCGCGGTGACTTGGACTGGCAGGCCAGCTCAAACGGAAGGAAGTACTTATCTGCTTCAATGAAGTTTGCTTTTGGTGGAGCAACAGTGCCTTCTCTAGGTCAGAGGAGAAGAGCTGTTAGTTTTTCTGAATACGTATATCACAGGAAGCTATCCATCCTCTCTTCTGATTAAAGCTGAATAGTATACAGAAGCATAAAAGCCTAACGTATTCTCTTATGCATGCTTTCTTTAGAAAGTTCATTTTTCTTTAAAATCACATTAAAATAACTTAATATTTTCGTATATTACATCTGACCTTTTATTTATTCTTCAGCTTACCTCTTCCCCCACTACACTCCAGTACTGTTCCACTACCTGTAATACTGGAGAATAACTTAATGATAAAATTTCCCAAATTATTCTGAGTAACTTAAACAGAGCCTGTAGGAAAAACAGGAAAAAAAAGAAACGTTTTGGGGGCTCAGTTCCTAGTATTGTGCTATGATTTTTAGACGCGTCGTTCTAAAATATTGTTTAAAAAGTTTAAGGAATTTAATTACATAAATCTAAATTTAAAAATTATTTAAATATAAGTAATATTGAAAAAGGTGTTCTTGATGTATGTATTTAGGGTCATATACCACCAAACCTAGAAAACCATAAGGAACAGTAGGTATTCTATCAGGCTGTATTAAGAACAGTAAAAGGAAGTGAAAAATTAGCACCTGTTAGAAGTTTTGCAATTATTTCATAGTGAAATTCAAAAGGCAGTTACAGCTTGAGTACCCAGAGCCACAGACGTTGTGTAATTGGGAAACATGGGCCAAATCATGCTTATGGCAGAAAGGTAAGTAGCTCATATTCACAAGTTCATTGCAGTAACTTGTACGTACTCTTACATTTCCACTACCATATTATTCAACCTGCTGCTTTCTTGCAAATTATAGGAATTAATAATTTACCTTTGCTTTTCCAGCTCTGTTTTTATTTCATCTGAAAGAAAGAAAAATTCAGAAGTTAACACCTAAGATGTTATTGATAACACCTAATATTGTTAACACTTAAGATGTTCAGTCTACAACTTCCTCGTAAGGGGGTGTCAAGAGGCAGGAGACCTTTTCTCCATTAACACCAGTGACAGGACCCGCGGGAACGGGGTTAAGCTGAGGCAGGGGAAATTTAGGCTTGACATCAGGAGGGGGTTCTTTACAGAGAGGGTGGTTGCACACTGGAACAGGCTCCCCAGAAGTGGTCACTGCACCGAGCCTGTCTGAATTTAAGAAGAGATTGGACTGTGCACTTAGTCACATGGTCTGAACTTTTGGGTAGACCTGTGCGGTGTCAAGAGTTGGACTTGATGATCCTTAAGGGTCCCTTCCAACTCAGGATATTCTATATTCTATAACACCACCACAAATACGGAAAGCATAATAAAGCAAAGCTGTTTCAAACCATTACACTCCATTATTAGCTGCTCCTTTCCTGTAACTTCTTCAGCATCCCAAGCCAGAGACCATAGACAATTACAAAATTTATGGCAAGGCATAGCTCTCAACTTCTACAGGAAAAAGCTTTTTTTTTTTTTTTTTTTCCTAAGTGTTCTCAGTAGAAAGGTATATTTAGAAAAAAAAACTAACAACCCAAGCGTAATTTTTATTTTAGGTAAGCCTACATTACAGAGAGCTCAGGTTTGAGGAAGTCTTTAAGCTGCTGCAGGAACCATGAATTCAATGCATCAGAGCTTCCTGTTAACTACAATGCTGGTTAGTTCGCTTCTGACAAACCTTACAATACGACATCAGCTGAATAAACAAACTCTTACTCAGAGATAAGAAATATTAAATGGATGCTGTCATCTTGCCAGCAGCTTTTATTTTTTATTTTTTATTTTTTTTCCCTCCTCCTTCTTTTTGAACTTAAAGTTTTGGGGAGCTTTTCATAAGAGTAAATACAGGAAAAATGCATCCTTCATTTCTATTACAAACACCAGCAAATCCTTAAGATCCTAGCATGTTTTTGTTTGTTTGTTTGGATTTCTAATACATCACCATGATGCACAATGCAGACTGCACTACACCAGATACAAACTGAACGCTGACACACAGCAAAGAGACCACATGCCATAAGGGTGCACAGCTACACACGTTTGTAATACCATGTGGAATCCTGTCCCTCCCATCCAACCTCACGTCCACGCAAGTAACCACATCTACAAAACTTGTTTAAACTGCAAAGTTATCAGAAACTGATCATTCACTGTGCCTGGAGGAGGCACAAGGTGAGCTTGTTGGAAGGGCAGCCTGGGGTAGGGTTGAGATGACTGCATTTTCTCCAAAATAAAAATTCCTCAACTAGAGATTAAGTTGTTTATATATATAAAAAAAATAAAAATCAAACTATGCTAAAAACATGGAGCAATGAGCCCACCCAAGAAAATAAAAGGTTGTTTTGTAAAATTTAATACTGCACAAGCAAACAGGTTTCATTATTAGCATCGATAGCTGAGAAAATTCTATGTTTATAGAGTAACCAAGCGATGAGTATTCCCCCCACCAGCACCCCCAGAAAATTCTTTATACCCAACTGAAAGACTTTTTTTTCCCCAAACAAATCACCCTCCCCCTCATATTGTTAACTAGCAGATCAGCATAGCAAAAAATGTTTTAAACGCAAGTTTAATGAAAGTTTTAGCCTTAAGGAAACATGATCCAGGCCCATCTTAGGTTTAATACTGCAATAATACCTTCACTGAGATAGGTATATTAGATCTTGTACTAGAAAAAAGTATAAGAATAGTGCCCCATATTAAAGCAATGATGATTTTACTTTCCAAAACCTTCCATAAATTAAACAAAATAAAACAAACAACAACAACAACAAAAATCTAAGCAAGTTCTGATGAAGTTCCCCACTATTTTGTTATATAAAGGGTTTTCCAAAGCAGCATAAAAGTGTCTGCATCACAATAGCATTTTAATAAATAATGCTGGCAGAAAAGAATAAGTGAAAAGACAAAAACAAGTTACAGCCATGCCCTTGCTACTGATTGCATCAAAATCATTTGGAAATCTCCACATTTGAAGAGCTCATTTGGTGGTCTGACCACCAAGAGCGAGTGAAACAAACGGTTGCCTAACTGAAGTCTGTTACCGTGAAGCACTCACCAAGCCCAGGCCAGGCAGAGCCAGCCTGCAGCAGCCCTCTGCTACTGCCACGCTTCTGGTCTGTGGCTGTGCCCCTTCCTCCTACAAGCAGAGCAGTCCCAACACGGGACTTCAGCTCCATGCACCACACTCAGTGCAAGCCTTTGGGCGCTCCCACCGGCCAGCACAACCGGAGCAGCCATTTCTTCCAGAGCTTCTTGCCATAACGAAAGCATTTGGCATGAAGCACATGCCAAAAGTAACCCCTGTTCTGTATTAAACTGTTTAAGTTTGTGTATAATGAAAACTACGTATTAAAAGGAAGGACAATTGCTGGCTTGAAGTTGGATGCACCCCGCGCTAATGAATGGTCAGGTTCATCGCAGTGGAAGCAAACCAGTTTCTGTGCAGAGAGCAGCAGTTTGTTAGCACAAGGACACGAGCAATGTCGTGCCAGAGCTTGTCAGAACACCGGAGAGCAATGCCAATGCAAACACATGGAACAGCAGTAACAGCTTTTTTTTTTTTTGTACAGTCCACTGCATTGCCTAATTCCAGGCTGCCTTAAATTTAAAGCAAAAAGCAAACATGCAAAAAGACATCCTACATTTATTGATTCTATCCCTCTGTGGAGAGCCCTTTACAGGAGGCTGCCACAGTGAAGCAAGATCTCGCTTTGCACCAGCACTCCCCAAGTATGCCAGCCAAGAGGCTTTACTAAACCTAGAAACAAACTCACTTCAGCCATTTGTCATTTCTATCAAGAGACAAATACACATACAGATTCCTAAGCAAAGGCATGGCTGAAGAGATTATTATTAAAATTAATTAACAAACTAAACAAACTCTGTTGCTTACATGGCTCAAAGGTATGTACGTGGAAGTGCCTAGGCAATCAAATGTCACAGAACCAGGCTGGCTGCATAGTATGTTATTAAAAACAGTCCTCATAGGGTAAGATTAATAGTTCTGAGAGTCTTTATTTGAGAGACCCAGGCACACAATTAGCATTTCACCCATACGAACTGCTGTGATATGCGCTGCCTGTACTCCACTGGAAATTCATGAGGATACAGACTGTTTCAGTAGACTTGCTAAGAACCGTGCATGCCCAGAGCTCCACAGAAGTGCTTATTAGGCAACTATTTATATACAATACACTGGCTGTCTGTTTAAAACCAGTTTTCTTAAAAATCGCAGTTTTCTAAACCAGAGCAGAACAGCTTCTCTGTTTAAAAACTTTATTTCTCCTCGCCTCTCCTGGGGTTTACTGGCACTATGAGCACTGGATACAACTATTACACCTACTGATGAAGCAAGAGGCTGAATGAAGGAATCCATTCAACTCTGCTTACTCAATATTTACCCTGTATATTTCAAGAGGGGGATGGACAGAGCAATTTTTTTTTTTTAATAACTGAGAAATGGTTTTGTTACCAAACCCATTTCCAAGGACACATGTATCACTGCTTTGGGCCAACAGTGCAAGCTAACAAGCCCTGTACAGTTCAGAAGTGAGTAAGTGCTCCTTTCACCCTTCCCATGTTCATACCCTATTTGAGCCTACAACACTTCTAATTTCTACAAAGTTGTGAAGATATTTTGCAGTCCAAAACTGCACACTACTGCTCCAGTAAAACACCCATTGGGAATGGAAGAACAGGACAACAACAGTTTAGAATTAAGTATCACATGTATTTCCCAGATAAGAATGACAGCAGTTTTCAGTGGTAACTTAAGTTCTCAACAGTGAAACACATTATAAACTAATAAAAGAGAAAACAGAAGCATGATTCCCGTAGTTAGAAATATATTCCTGTCTCACCAAACAAAAATTTAAAGCATGTGCAATTAACAGAAACACTACTCCAGTACCACCACAGCACAAGCTGTAGAAATAGCAGCAGGTTAGGTAGGTTAGATAGAGAGGAATTGGTGTGTTCAGGAACTATTTAGAGCAATAATTTACTTGTGACCCATACTGTGCTGACTGCTTTATAAAAGATATGATAGCTCAAAGCTCCATTCAAGAGATCATTGTATAAAGAAGACAGCATAGCAAATGGAACTTAGTCATAGGTAGAGGGGCATCATTTGAAATATGACATGGAAAATTAAAAGACAATGTCTGACAGTTACCAGGTCCATAAAGTTAACTTTACATTTCTCTTGAATTAATTGTACTTAGATTTAATTATTAAGGGATAACTGAACTTTACTATTATTGAAAACACTGTAGCTTCTTTCTTGCAAAACTATTTGTGTAGATTAAGAAGTCTGGCCTGAATTCTTTGGACTGCGAGTAATGTTTCTTCCCACATTCCCTAGCATATTTACTACAGCACAGGGCTTGATAATTAAGCTAGCACTTTTGAAATTAAACTGACTTTTATTTAACAAAGTATAAGCTTAATAAGCTTACATAAAATAAAACTTTAAAAAAAAATTATTAGAAAAGAGCTTATTCTACACAGAATAAAGTTTAGAAATAAAAAGCACACATGAATGTAAGGAACTGCATTCACGTTGTCACCTTGAAATGATGTAACATTTACCAAATATAACAGAGAGCCTTTAGTACAGTAATCAAGGCCCTACTAGTGTAGGAGAGTTGGGCAACAGAAGGTTACCTATTCATGCCGACCTCTGCTTCAGTCCAGTCAAGTAGTACCATAGACTTTTTTTTCAGCATGATTAACAACATGATTATCTATCATCACAAGCATTAACTGAAATCAAACATTATACCTTAAAAAACTGGGAGGTAAAACAGCCCTAATCCAAAAGACAAATGCCAGTAAATGGCTATTGCATAATACTCCTCCCCTCGTATCATGGTCTTTGATGTGGTAGTAAACAAAAGGCTTCCTACTAATTTTTCAAGAAAGTTCCCTTTCTCGAAAAGTATTTATGTAGCAGACAAGCAGGTTTCCAGTCCTGTAAATGGGTTGGGTGGATGTTGGTGGGAAGTCAGGAAAGGGAAGTAGTAAAAATAATCTCTGTTGCTCACAATGTCAACTTTAAATAATAATAAATCCACTTCTATGTAGTTACCACTAGGTAGTTAGTGCCTTCAGATTTCTTCAAGGTGAGGACTGTGGGCAGGAAGATGAAAACAAAGATAAAAAACACTTTTTTTCAAGTTTGCTTTCATAATACATTTGACAAGACTTGCCTCTGCTCAGCATTCTTACTCACTCAGCCAGTCTCTCCTGTTTCAATGTTCTACATACAGTAAATACACTCAAATTAAAGGAAGAATATTAGTGCAAACCAAGTGAAACTGTAAGAGATATCTTTGCTATAAAATAAAAAGGCCACAAAGAAGTCTACCTGTGAGAGCTGTACTGCTTTACCTAGTTTTTTGCCTACATGTCATGCCATCTGCTTTCACAACTTTAACACCTAGTCCTGTACTACGAAAGGATGGATTTGCAGGTGCAGGTTTGAAGACCAGCCTACGAAGTTTGCAGAAAGTGCCTCAGTTGTGCAAGACACCACACTGTATGCGGCCGCCCCAAGTTTTCAGCCCGTCCATGAGTCAGACGGAAGGTACCGGGGAATGCCAGGCCCGGGACAGCAGAAGGGCCCCTCCAGCACCCCGTGTCCCAGCCGAAACGCTCGGGGTTGATTCCCCCCAGCTGAGTCCCGGCGGGGCAGCCCCGCGCCCCTCCCGCTTCACAGACCCCGAACAGCAGGTGGCGCCTGGGCTGCGGGGCTGTTCCCCGCCGGGACGCGCCGGGACAGCTCGAGCGGGGCCGGGAAGGGCCGGGCCGGGCCGGGCAGGGCAGCGGCGGCGGCTCCCGGCCCGGCGGGGGCGGACTCACCCAGCGCCACCTGGCAGGCTCTCCGCAGCTGCCCGTGCGGGGGCCGCTTGGCCTCCTTCTCGGCCAGGATCTTCTCGAGGGCCCGCGACACGAACATGCTCTTGGTGCGGGCGTCCTGCTCGCGGCCCGGGGGCTGCATGGCGGCGGGGCCGGGGCCGCCGGGGAGCTGCGCCGCGCCTCCGCCCTCAGCGGCCGCCGCCGCACCGCAGCCACGGCGCCGCCATCTTGGCGCCTGTCACGTGACCCGGCCGCCCTGCCCGCCGCCCCATCGCGACTTGCGAGCCCGGCGGCAGGCGGGGCCCGGCCCGTGGAGGCCTCTGGGCGGCTGGCGGGCAAGGGGCCGTGGGGGGAGGGTGGAGGAATGGGCTCCGAAGTCGTCTGTTCCAACCGTGCCCCTCTCACCGCCATCACCCTCTAAGCCGTGTCCCCAAGCGCCACGTCCAGCCTTTCTTTAGACACCCCCAGGGACGGTGACTCCACCACCTCCCTGGGCAACCCGTCCCAGTGCCTGACTGCTCTTTCTGAGCAGAAATGTCTCCTCATTTCCAGCCTAAACCTCCTCTGGTGCAACTTGAGGCCATTCCCTCTGGTCCTATCAGTAGTTACCTGTGAGAAGAGGCCGACCCCCAGCTCTCCACGCCTTTTCAGGCAGTTGCAGAGAGCAATGAGGGCTCCCCGAGCCTCCTCCAGACCAAACACCGCCAGGTCCCTCAGCCGCTCCTCACAGGACTTGTGTTCCAGGCCCTTCACCACAATAAGTGGAGTTGGCAGCCACGTCCTGCCCCTTCAGTTCCAGCAGGCTGGGTCAGCCCTGCCGAAACCAGGCTTGGTGCCTGTTATAAATTGCCCCCTTAATTAATTTTTCAGAGAGCATTGTATTAACCAGAGAAAGGAATTTACTGAGTAAGCCAACAGCAAGCAAAACAGCGCTGGGCGTCCAGGGAGTCTCGGCTCTGCCAATGGCGCGCACCTCACCCCCGCCAGGGTCCCTTTTTATATCTTGGTAATTCCGGGATTACGCAGCACATCCTGGTATATTCTGCGACTGCGCGCATTGTTGCTAGGGGGTCATCTCTGTCCCTCTGGTGGTCGTGAAGATGAAGGCCGTAGTCTTCCTCGGCGTTGTGGTTCAACTTCTTTTTTTTATTTGGTCATGTTGGCCCAGCGTGAGACAGGAAGGCAGGATGTTGATACACTAGTTTAGCAACTGATCAGGAGATGGTTACATGAGCTTTACAGCAGTGTCTCTGAACAAAAGAGGCAACTGAGATGCAGAAGGAGAGAAGGGGAGGGGGTTCTCTTTTTTGTTACATTAAGCAAAAGAATTTTCATAGTGTCTAGCCAAGCATTATACAGCTCCTTACTTCAGCAGGGAGCTTTTGCAACTCCTGCTCCTCAAACAGAACTCCTTGTTTTTTATAATACAAAAGACAATGAACAAACATTTATGGTGTATTACAGTGCCCATCCGCGCTTTTTTAAAACCCGTCCTCTTGGCATGTCCCTGGGAGTTGCGTCCCCCAAATGTGTTGGGTGTCGGGTGATTTCACTAGCAGGACACCCCAAATGCAAGCACTGTTATTGCTGCAATCAGTTGCATTGATTGTGTTGGAATTGTGACTGAAAGAAGGTCATGTTAATACAATACTCCTCATTTTTATAACGCTTTTAATCTGAGCATCCCAGTGTTTCCGTTATTGCTGATAACTTCCACAGAACAAGGCCTGTGAAGAGACACTAAGAATATAGATGTTTCAAAGACCCAAAGTCATGTTAAAGATGAATCATTAAAAAGTAAATTTCACGTCCCATAAATTTAGTATCCATTTATAACCCGATGCCCAATTGTTTCTTCTCCTTTTATCCATCGCCCTATGCAATAGGGTGTCTTATTCCCCAAATCAAATTCTGGACTCCTTGAAAGCCAGTATAATCTATGGAAATAATCTGCAGAGATAAATTACTCATTTGATGCCCTCCTTTAGCAACTTGCAACCATCACTAGCATGCAGTCACCTCTTCCACATCCCTCCACAATGGGCTTAATCAAATTAAGACAGCAATATCTAACTAAGAATACAGGGACCTATTAGATTGTCTATACTGTGATTTTATTTCTCAAACACTGGCATTCTTATCTTTTAAAATGTCATTAATAGACACTTAGCATTGTCAAATTCTACAATATTTGTCTAAAAAGCATTAACGAAGGGTCCAACCATAAACGCCTGTGTGCAGCATTCATAGTATTACTTCATGTGGAAAATGGGCAGGTGCTATGTGACCACCTCTACTGTCCAGAGGTTTGTGTGGACTGGCTACATGGAGCTGAGGACTCTACTTACATGGAAAACTATGAGTTAGATTATAGGAAATCAGACATGATGAAGGTGGACAAGAACAGGGGGAAGTGCCCCTATCTGGAAACAGTTTTTAAAGCTACTAGCTAAAGACTTGGGTTTTCCCAGGAAATCAGCAGTTCCAATGTGGCTGTGATAAGAGTACAATTTTGTGGTTTGTCATTAAGTCACAAATTGTCAGGGTGTAACTACCTCAAAAACCTCCTAGTTATATCTGTTCTCTTGGCAATAATAGTGTGTTCAGCCTCTTCTAGTATGAGCAAATGCACCATGTAATAAATGTGAGACAATGTTGGAAGGTTAAAGTCCTTCTGAGCGTTTATCAGCTGAAGCTGTCATTAGGCAACTGACTTGAACTTTCCTCCACATTAAGTGATTAGTACAAGTTTAGAATGGATCACTATTCCATGTCAGAATCACAGAAATGCAGGGCTGGGAAGGTCTTCAACAGATCATTTAGTACATCTCCAAGCATTAAGACAGAATGCTGCCTCTTACTGAACAGCTCCAGTAAAGGAGATTGAATAGCATTTCAGTTTGTTGCCTTCAGTGTTTCACTAATTATGCAGTTAGGAAATTCCTAACATCTGGTCTGGATGTTAACTGCTATCCATTAGCAGATGGATGGACTCTATATCATAGAGATAGGAATAACAGAAAAATAGAGACAAATAACATAGAAATCAGAGTATTGAGTGATTATTATTATTATTATTATTGAATTTGCATATTTCCAGATTGTGACTAGGGTTTGGATTTTGTTTTCTATCAAAAGCCTGGTTGTTCCTAATTTTTTTTTATTTTTATTTTTTAATTTCTGGTCTCTTATACAGAAGATGTTCATCCCTGTAATCATATAGGTATGCTGACTTCACTCTTGTAGCCTCAGTAACGTAATTGTTTTTACACTGAGGAGATTTCATCCATTTCATCCTTACACTGCATGCTGATAGTCTGTGTGTTAATTTCATTGCACAATACAGTGAAATCAGATAGCCTATGCTTCTTTAGTAACAACTAACTCCAATAAAAATTTTGAAAAATGCAACGAATTTCAGAATGCTGAGATAGACCATATTTTTCCTGGTGTTTTCCTATCAGGATTCAGTATGGTATTATTTTAAAATAGAATGAACTGGGCAATCATTGTCTATATTTGCTATTTATTTTTCCAAGTATGTTGCAGATGTAAAGGTGCAGGGCTTTAAGTCATTACATGGTCTAGTATTTGGTTTGGAGTATCTAGTTCCATGAAATATGCCATAATATCCTTTGGCTTCTAAACATCTTAAAGTTTTAAACCATATTTGTATATCTCTGTATGTCTGTGATCACTTAAGTGTTACATTTCTGAGCTTATCACCTTGGGCATCAAGTGGTTGAGACAGTTTACATGCCAGGTCGATGAATTCATTTGCATTAAAGACCTAAATACAGATAGCATTATGGGTTTTAATTGTACTTTTCAGACCTTGTTCCCAAAATGCAAAGTCTGAGAAATATGCTTTTCAGGTTTATATTCATTCAGTGTGTCACCAGGAGGGAATTAGGAAGACGTCTTGCTGTGCACCTCATGACTCAGCTGCCTTCTTTAATTCCTACTCTTGGCTCCATCGTAGCTCTGCTATACCGCAAGCTTTCAGATCCTCTCCACAGGATATCTCACTGACTATCTTAACAACCAGGCAACATCTAATTTAATTTGCCCTGTCCTGAAAGGTAAAAAATTCAATACGAACCTTGAGAGCCTCATTACTGACAAAAAAAAAAAAAAAAAAAAAGAGGAACAATTTCAAATTTCTTCTGGCTACTTTAATTTAGCACATCCAAAATAAGAAAAGGTTTAATAACTCTCCCTAATAATCTTTCTAATAGAAAGGGAGAGATGAAGACACACAAAAAAGTAAGAACAGGATCACCTGTCACAGAGTCAAGTACTGACAGTGAGAGAAGTCAAAAGACAAACTGATTGTTCTTGGACTCAAGAGTCACTTCATTTCAGTGCTGAAATCTGCAGTCTCAACGTAGAATATGCCTCGGAGAACATGATGGCCTTGTGTTATGGACAAGTCAGAAAGGAAGATTTGGCTGATGAAAGTTAACCAGTAGTCAGATTTTGATGAAAAATTGTCATATTGGGGACAGTGACAGAGAACACTGTAGCTTCCACTAATTTGTAATCCTAAGGAGCCATGGTAATGCAAATAAGCCCCGTCTCTTGAAAAGCTATCAGTTTAGCAATAACAAGACAAAATGTGTAGTTTTCTTGTACCGATATATTACACCTCCACATGCTAGCATTTTTAAATGTGTAATTTTGAAATAATGCTCACAATCCAAGAAAAGTGGATCCAAAACCAGTCCCCCAAGAATTGCCCACGTTTGTTATTGCTGTCTATGCATCTGATTCTTCTTTCACTTCTATTAGTTTAAATCAAGGGTAATTCTACAGTTATCAGTGAAATTACAGTGATGCAGAAGTGACATAACTAAAAGTCAAATAAGGCCCTTAGTCTTTTTTGAGGGATGCTGACTTAGTTATTGACACAAAAAAGGCTGTAATTACTGTCAGCAGCATTTTCAGAACTAATTAAGCAGCAGAAGCTGTTCGTGTATTGTCAGCCAAATTATCAGTTCTGATTTTAGGACATTTATTGTGGGGCAAGATTAGTTTTCATTGGAGAAGCAAAATGGATATGGTCTTGATTTTAGGGAATAGATTGAGCAGACAGTTTTACAGAAATCTTTTTTTAGTTACATGTCAAGCAAAAAACTTGCC